GAACTGAATCATCATGAATAATAGTTGTTTCCAAAAAAAAAGATTTGGATCAGGTCCAATAACAAACTTTAAATAAAAATATTCTTATGTTTGCAAATGGCGGGTTTTTACCCATATATTTAAACTAAAAAAATATATATATCTTTTTTTTGTGAACGAAGAAAAAAAAAAAAAACCTATCAGAATCTCTTTTTAACGACGTGTATTCTTTGTATAGGTTATTATTTTCTGTTTTAAAACAAAATTTATTTATTTTGTATATATTTAATAAAATAATAATATAAATGAGACAATGTTAGATATTTAGGGAGTGATTGGTAAGTGCTGTGATTTTTATTGTTGTAGAGTTTTATTAATAACTTTCAAAGCACTAAGTAGAAAATTCTAGAAAAAACTGATTTCCAAAGTCATTTTATTTCTTATTTAAATTTTAGTGTTGTAACTTTAAATTAATTCTCTAAAGCACGAGTGGTAAAATAAAATAGGTGTGAAAAAAGAGATGTAGAGAGCATTCACAGCACTTGCCAATCATCCCATTAACCGTTGAGTCATCCCTTAAAAAAACTATTTAAAAGGAAAAAAAAATATTTGATTTAGAATTTGAGTATTTTTCTACAATTAGTATCACCAAATCTTTTAGAATGTAATACACAATCTATATAAATTAAATGTTAAATTTGTGTTTAGTTGATGTTCAAATTTTCAATATATATTACCACTATAAATTGAAGTTCTTGTCCAATATATATGGAAGCCAAAACATAAAAAGATACGATCGATCAATATATATCACATTATTCATGACATTTCGGGAAGAAAATGTACGAGATAAATTATAGTTTAAAGGTAATTACTATTCTTTATGACATGTGTATACAAGAGAAGAGAACACATAACTTTATGACATGTCCACCCCCAAAAGTTGAAGTTTTCGACTTCCTATAAATTTGGAGGAAGACAAGAACAATCTTCACACCTTTCATCCATTGACAATTTTCAATTTTTCTGGTAAACAAAGTGCATACACTACAATCTTTTGTAACCGATTTACAAATCCAATCACATCAGTCTTGTGATATAAACAAAATGCGTTTTTCTCGTTTGTTTAGCAATATTTAATTATTAGTAAAATATATTTTCGGTACCTACTTTCGTATTATTATTTTGACATTTTGTCAGATAAAAGTGTTCATAGTTTTCCTTGTGTTGATTTTAACAAAAAAAAAAATTAGACACAGGTTTTTTTTGTAACACAATTTAGGTTAAAATAAATTGAAACCCACAAGGGTGGATACAAAAAAAGATAATTAAATAGAGGTTCTTTTCACTTAAAAGCTTGTAATTCACAAAAAAAAAACAACATGCACTGCTTGTTTTTTTTTCAAATAATAAGTTATGCGAGTAACAATAATAAGTTACTGATAAAATCATTTGCCATAATATTTTTTGTATCCACAAAAGTTTATGACCTTCTCTATTTCTCGCATGCATCTTCTACTCATCTTTTGTTTAATAATTCAAAGAAAAAAGTTATTGTTATGTTTACTGCGTCCTTAATTATATGATATTTACTCGGCTTAGCCTGGTTTGCTTTGAACCCTTTCTTTTACAGATCATTAACTAGTTTGACAAGGGCTTCACGATCAACGATCTTGAAAGAAAATGATGTCTTATGGTGAACGGCCAAGACTACTTGTGGTGGCTAATCGGCTTCCGGTTTCTTCAAAGAAAACAGGAGAAAACTCTTGGTCTATGGAAATGAGTCCTGGTGGTAAATTTAATCTTCTAGGTAAGTCATGAGCCATATATGATTACATAAAATGATATAATTGGATCAGAATGTTCAATAGTTTGGTGTGATGTCTTGAAGGTGGTGTGACAGATCAATATGATACCAAATGGATTGGATGGCCTGGATTTGATGTGTATAATGAAGTTGAGAAAACTGCACTCTCTAAATCGCTAGCTGAAATGGTATGTATTGATCCAAACATGTCCACATGTATATTGAGTTTCATTCCTCGTTCATTCATAAATTAATGAAAACGTATAAATACTTACATGTTTATAAGAGTAAAAACTCATGACATTTTCAAATACCTGATGATTTTTTTTACTGATACACAAATATCTGATGATTACTCTCGCTTTATCTATTGTTTTGTTCTATCAACTTGCAGAATTGTATCCCTGTGTTCCTTAATGAGGTTTTTGATCAATATTACTATGGTTATAGTAACGGTATATTATGGCCAATTCTTCATCACATGGAACTTCCACAAGAATATTATCATGACACAAACAAGACGTTCCAAACACAATATGATGCATACAAGAAAGCAAATCGAATGTTTCTTGATGTCGTAATAGAGAACTATGAAGAAGGAGATACTATCTGGTGCCAAGATTATCATCTCATGTTTGTTCCTCGATACCTTAAAGAATACAACAACAAAATCAAAGTTGGATGGTTTCTCCATTCACCATTTCCTTCTCCAGAGATCTACAAAACATTGCCCTCGCGATCAGAGCTTCTTCGTTCGGTTCTTAGAGCTGATTTACTTGCGTAAGTTTAATCTCTAACTTTGTTATATACATAGTTAAAGCATCCGCAAAAGTGATCCTTAAAGGAGAAGTCTTAGAGAAAAAATAATTAAATAATCAGTGAATCCCACAAAAAGTTAAGAATTAATCTTTAAAATTTTTTAAATTAGAATTCTTTCTTAGTAAATCATTGTACTATTTACGGGCCTTCATGACACTTATCGTTCCGCGATTGGTTGATATTTAACTTTTTTATCTGAAAAAAATAATAATTAAAAAATCAAAAACTAAAAATTTCAATGGGTAACACCATTGCGGGTGCTCTTAGTGAATACGATCAAAATATTTTAAACTTTATATATTTTCTCCTTCAGTTTCCATACGTACGATTTTGCAAGACATTTCGTGAGTACATGCACTCAAATTCTTGGCGTTGAAGGTACACATGAAGGGGTTGTGGATCAAGGCAGACTCACTCGTGTAGTTGTTGTATGACTTTATATTCAAATCTTCAACATCTTTTCCCATAACTTAAATCATCACATCATAATAAGTAGACCTAATATACAAATCCTAATCTCTCTCTTTTAGCTTCCCATGGGAATTGATCCTGACCGGTTTATAAGCACATGTAAGCTTCCTGAAGTCATACAACAAATGAATGAGCTTAAAGAGAAATATTCTGGAAAAAAGGTAAACATTTTTCTTACAACCTTTTTAACTTGATGCTAAGAAAAGCTTTTTACTTATACATTTTTTTTTTGGTGTTGACAGGTGATATTAGGTGTTGAACGTCTTGATATGATCAAAGGGATTCCACAAAAGTATCTTGGATTTGAGAAATTTCTTGAAGAAAATCCAGATTGGCGTGATAAAGTTGTCCTGGTGCAAATTGCAGTGCCAACAAGAAATGATGTCCCTCAATGTAAAAGCCTTTGTAGTCTTCTATGCATCTAAATATGTTTTCTGAGATTGTCCTTTATTTACAGATAAGAAGCTCAGAGACTTGGTTCATGGACTCGTTGGACGCATTAATGGTCGTTTTGGCTCTTCTCTTCCAGTTCATCACATGGTTTGTTTGCTTTCTCTATCTATTCAAGTTTTCATGATTTAATAATATTTTTTTTCATTGTTTCTTGATAAGAGTTTTCTCTAATTTTCTTTGTCAGGATTGTTCTGTTCCCTCCAATTATTTATGTGCACTTTACGCGACTGCAGGTAAAAAATTTCCTTCACAACACATGATGGTCGTTGAACGTTTTAGTCATTATATATTAACTTGTTTAATTAATTTTGTTTTAGATGTAATGCTTGTAACGTCTTTAAGAGATGGACTGAATCTCGTTAGTCATGAGTTTGTTGCTTGCCAAGAGGGCAAAAAGGGGGTTCTTATTCTCAGTGAGGTAATATAGATAATTCAGCATTCAATGTTGTAGAAATTGACATTAAAAATGCTTTAGATTAATGTTTGAAGTTACTTATTTTGCATGAAAATGTATACAGTTTGCAGGTGCTGGACAGTCACTTGGTGCTGGAGCTATTCTTGTGAATCCTTGGGACGTTACAGATGTTTCTTCTGCCATTAAAGAAGCTCTAACTATGCCAGCTGAAGAAAGGGAAGAAAAACACAGAGTTAATTTTCAGTATGTGATAACTCATTCTGCTGAAAAATGGGGAAGTGATTTCTTGAGGTATAGTCCAAAGAAGAAGTAACATTTTGACTTTTTTCTTCAAAACATTATCTCTCTTAGGTAAGAGCTTAGATGCCAAAGTTTGTGTGTATGCAGTGAACTCAATGACGCTTTTGCTGAATCCGAGATGAAAATTAGGAGTATCCCACATGAACTTCCACAACAAGATATGATACAACGATACTCGCAGTCTAATAATAGACTGATAGTCTTGGTAACTGAGCTAGCTTTGGGAAATTTTGATATAATTTGTATTATACTAACACTTACAAACTGTGAAATACGTTTTTAGGGTTTCCGTGGAACACTCACTGAGCCAATGAATCGTCAAAATGTGGAACTGGGTCTTAAACTAAACACAAAGCTAAAAGCAACACTGAAAGCATTATGCAATGATCCAAAAACAACAGTAGTTGTATTGAGTAGAAGTGGCAGAAACATATTAGATAAGGTATTATTACTAATGTTTTTTTTTTGATATTTTTGTTTCTATCTCAGATGCATATGTATCTATTTTTCCTCACTGATTTGGTACTTTAAAACCAGATTTTTGGAAAGTATAAGCTATGGTTGGCTGCAGAAAATGGAAGGTTTTTAAGGGATCCCATTGGAGAATGGGTGACAAATATGCCTGAAAACATGAATCTCGACTGGGTTGATGGTGTAAAGGTTTGAAAAAAAAATAATAAAAGCTTTGATTAAAAATAATCTTTTTGATTTTTTCCTTTATATATTTATTGACATTTTGTATGGGTTGGTTATCTTGTATATTTGTAGAAAGTTTTTAAGTACTTCACTGATCGAACTCCAAGATCCTTCTACGAAGCAAGCGGGACTTCTCTAGTATGGAATCACGAATATGCAGGTGATTTTAAATTAGTCATTTTTTTTGCTTCCATATAACACTTTTGTATTTATTTTTTTTTTGTTCAATTTCCATTGTCCTGACTATTTTTCTTTCTTTCTATAGACGTTAAATTTGGAAAAGCACAAGCAAGAGACATGTTTCAACACTTATGGGCAGGACCCATCTCTAACGAATCAGTTGACGTTGTTCGAGGAAACCATTCTGTTGAAGTCCATGCGATGAGTGAGAGTAAGGTAAAATTTAATGGTTTCTCATCTCATGTTATGTATTCAAAGTTATGAGTATACAGTAATCGAAATCTATTATACACTGAACCGTTGGTACCAGTTGAGCTTGAAGTGTTCTATCTTCTTTCTCTGTTACTTAGGGTGCAGCCATTGGTCGTATTTTGGGAGAAATAGTGCATAAAAGTGCATTGACTACACCTATTGATTATGTCTTTTGCAGTGGTTACTTCTTGGAGAAGGTAGAGCTTAATACTATCTAGCCCTACATTACTCAATCAGAATCCCGAGTAACTAAATGAAAGATATTTTACAGGACGAAGATATTTACACTTTCTTCGAATCAGAAACCAAGTTATCTCATGAAACTAGGCAGGTTTCACTGAATGTTCTTGACCTCGAAAAGGAGAATTACTTCTCTGTAGCCATCGGACAAACTCGCACAAAAGCTCGCTATGTCATTGATTCATCTCAAGATGCTGTGGATTTGCTCCACAAGCTTGCAGTTGCAGATACAACAACAACACTGGCTGAGACATTTTCTGATAGCGAATCATATCAGACTTGCAATGGAAACGGATATTTGAAACACTCCACAAACGGGATGACCAACGGCAATGGAAACGGATATTCGAAACACTCCTCAGACGGGATGACCAACGAGAGCCAAGAAGCTGAACTCTAACTCTAAATCGTTTCGACGAACTCTTTTGTTTATTAATTATTATATGCATAATAAGAGGAGTCCACTGCTCTGAAATGTAGGAGCATGACCCTTACTTAACAATCTTCGATAACAAGAAAGAAATAAAAGTAGAGAGTTTTCTACCATCTAATGCTTTAACTGGAGACCAAAAAATCTAGGTCCTGGATTTAAGCGTTTGTATTAATATCAGCAAATAATACAGAAATGTAGTTTTTATCTATCAAATGTGGAACAAGAACACAATACCAATAAAACAATAACATATAAGAATACAAACTAGATATACCCTTAACCAAAAGGCAAAGCTAAGTTGCTTTTGGCATAAGACTCAAGGGGAGAAACTAATCACAAACCGGTTTAAACAAAAACTGAGATAAGTTATATTACCTCAAGTTCTCTTGTTGGGCTCAAATGCATATTTGATCAGAGACTCCTTGATTGAGAGTAATTCAGGGAACTCTTTCTTGAGCTTAGATGCGTCCATCTCGTTGTTGCTTCTTGGTGCCACGATGACCTTAGCTTGCTCCTCTAGTGTGAAGTTCGCCCATTTGAAGTCTGAGTCGATGTAGTCTCTGTACATCTCCAGGACCTCATTGTGGCTCACAACACCAGGGTTGGTGAAGTTCCAAATCCCTCTCAGGTTTCTTTTCGCCATCTCTATTGAGATTGGAAGAAGCTCGTCCAGCACGGTCATGCTGTTTGGGATGTTCACAACTTTGCTGTACCGGGAAATCTTGGTGATGAAGTTTCTCGGGTTGTTGAGATCAGAGGAAATAGGCATCCTAACCCTTAGTGTGCATACGTTATCAAACTCCTTAAGCAGCTCCTCAACCTATGACGGGTCACAACAAACATCATTTTAAGAAAACAAGCATGTTTAAGTAAACAGGAAATCTTATCTTGTAGATGAAATCATGAGATTTTTTTTTACCATGGCTTTGGTTTTTGAGTAGAAAGAGCCAGTGAAGTTTGGTGTGTCTTCTTCTTTGAAGCCAATGCCTGAACCTAGCGGATGGTTTTCGTCGTACTCGAAAATACAACCAGTAGCAAAGTTCATCAACAAGAGGTTGTTCTCTCTGCAGACATCAGCCAGAGTCAAAGTCCCAGCAACATTAGCACGGATTGTCTCGGTCTTGTGAGACTCGCACCAGTCGACATTAGGTCTCCCCGTCACACCAGCAGCATTGAAGACATGGGTAGGCTTAACATTCACAACATCTTGCAAGAGGGATGACCTATCCTCAAGCCGCCCTTTCCCATACTCAAAAGCAATCCCTTGCTTCTCACAAATCTTCCCAAGCAAACCCCCAATCCATCCCGTCTTACCATATATCAAAAACTTCAGAGAAGCGCTCTGAGTGACGCCACTGCCTCTGGGTGTAGGAACCACCATCTGGCTCTGGCTCGAGTTTCCAGATAAAGCCACTACTCCAGAACTCTCCTCAGACCCATCAAAATGTCTCCCACCAGGCATCACAAGCATCCTCGGGTGAGGAAGCAACGCTCCAGAAACATCACCCCACCAATCCGGATTCTGCGTATACCATTCCATCGTCTTCTTCAACCCTTCTTCCCAAGTAGTCCTCTCCTCCCACCCCAAGATCTTCAGCTTCTCATCATCCAAAAAATACCTCTGATCATTAAAAGGCCTATTCTCCACAAACTTAATACTCGCCTCAGGATCCACATTAAACAGCTTGCAAACATCTCTCGCAACGTCATTCACCCTCCTCTCCTTCTTAGTCCCAATATTATAAACATGCCCCACTTCCCCCTTGTGAAGAATCACCTCAAACGCCTCAGCAACATCTTCACAATAAAGATAACTCCTCACATTACTCCCATCTCCATGAATAGGCAAAACCTCCCCTCTCATCGCCAACAAAATAAACTTCGGAATCAGCTTCTCCGGAAACTGATTCGGTCCATAAACATTATTCCCACGCGTCGTTATAACCGGCAACCCGTAAGACCTCCCGTACGCCATCACAAGCATCTCCGCACCCGCCTTAGTAGCAGAGTAAGGATTCGTCGGAAGCAGCTGAGAAGCCTCATGGTTACCAACAACCGCGTCCTCATCAGTCTCGCCGTAAACCTCGTCAGTACTGACGTGGATAAACCTTCTGATCTGGCCAGTGACTTTACACGCCTCGAGGAGCACGTGCGTCCCGTAGATGTTGTTTTTGGTGAACTCGAAGGAGTTGCCGAAGGAGTTGTCGACGTGAGTCTGCGCGGCGAAGTGCATGATGGTGTCGATGCGCTCGGTGATGAGGAGGTAGTTGACGAGATCGGCGCTGGCGATGTCTCCCTTGACGAATTTGAAATTGGGGGAGGATCGGGAGGGGTTTAGGTTTTTGAGGTTAGAGCAGTAGTCGAGCTTGTCGAGGACGACGATCTTGTAGTCCGGGTAGGTGCGGATGAGACGGTTCGCCACGTGTGAGGCGATGAAACCGGCTGCGCCGGTGATTAGGATGTTCTTGGGAGTGTATGACGTCATTGAGTCTCCTGAGATTTTTGAAAACGACGGTTATAGATCGAGATCTGAGTTTCGAAATCAACGGATCTGATTAAACGCTAGATTTTAATGATGTATCGATAACGCTGAGTATGTTTAACTAAATCAGCAGATCTAGATCAGAGACTAAACTACACAGCAAGCTCTAAGATTATGGCAACAATGGTGGATATATGTTTATGAGCGAAGAGATGATCGAATCATACCTCTGGAGAATGTGAGAGGGAGAGAGGAGGAATCAATTCAAAGGAGTCTTCGAAAGGGGAGGAAAAGTCTGTAGACAGCAGCGCCCGAGGCTATTGGAGAAGACGGAGTCGCTGGAAATGATTATTTATAATAAAAATAAAATATGTTGATTGACGTTTGTACCCTTGTTGGTCTTATTAATTTACGGATCCGAGAATGTTTTAGCTGGCTGATGCAGAGTGTGTGGTGCGTGTTGGCTGGCGCGTTCGTCAATTTTGGTGTGAAACGCTTTTGTGTTGTCACTGTAGAGTTTTAAAGCTTTAATATTCCTAAGAAAAATTATGGTTTTTAAAGTATAATCTCTTTTGTTACAAAATAAAATATATATAACTTTTTAAAATTAACACTCTATAAATTAATATATATTAAAAATTATAAAATATAATTTTATAGTTCTAAACTGAATTTATGATTTAATTATTATATTAATTAATTTAATAGTTTCTATCAATTAATAAAAAATTATAATAGTTTCTATCAATTAATAAAAAATTATAATTTTGGTATAATTCTAACATTATTAATTTATAGAGATTTTACTGTATTTGATTTAAAAAATATTTAAAATATAAACACAGTATAATTCTCATTGGCCATGGTGTTTTACGCAAAAATAATTATATGGAAAGGAAAAAAAAATGTATTCATTTACGTTGGCAAAATAAAGTTAAGTTAAATATATACAACCCAAAAGTGAATATTTGCACATGAGGACATCATGGAGCGAGCGATGAGTGGATCTCAACGTGGTGACAGGCTTTCTTACCGCGTTTCGGTGTTTAAAACATTGGCTATGTGGCTCACCTTCACGCACCGCCTACGGAATTTTCGCCCTTTTCAACAATCAATATAACTTTGATGATCTATCCTCTATATGATAACCACAACAAGAAGAAGATGAAGTAATATTTATGACATCGTCCTCCTATACCATTTTCCATATAATCATGAACTGTATGCATATTTAGAGGGGAAAAAAACAAATCATTGATTGGAGTGAACCGCTTGATACTTCCTTATACGTAATATTGTTATGGATGATTGTGATCATTCATTACATATATGCTCTATAAAATTAAAACCCAAAGAAGTTTTTCATAAATTAGATAGAGTTAGCTTTATCTACATCATTCAGTCTGTTTCATCCAACAAGAAAAGAAACTAAACCGCGATGGAAGCAAAAGGAGAAACTCAGTGGAGCTCTATTATAGTTCCTTCGGTTCAAGAGATGGTGAAGGAGAAGATGATCACGACTGTTCCTCCCAGGTATGTTCAGTCGGACCAAGAGAAATCTGGAGTGACCAGTGATTCTGGTCTGATACCAGAGATCCCAATCATCGATATGAAGCGGTTGTGTTCTCCCACCTCCGTGGACTCTGACTCTGAGGTTCAGAAACTCGATTTTGCTTGCAAAGATTTTGGATTTTTCCAGGCAAAGTCTCTTAACTTTTCTATTTTACAAAATAACCTATGTGGAGCTTACTAAAACTTGTCACGTCTGAGTTTACAATTTTCAAAACAACACTCTATTCTTTTTTATCAACATATAAAACCTAATGGAGCATAACACTTTAGGTTTCAATATTTATTCATTGTTGTTATGTCCTTACGTTCATTTACTCATTTACAGCTTGTGAACCATGGAATTGACGCAAGTTTCATGGACAAAACAAAGTTGGAGATTCAAGATTTTTTCAACCTCCCCATGGAAGAAAAGAAGAAGTTCTGGCAGCAACCAGATGAGATGGAAGGTTTCGGACAAGCTTTTGTGATGTCAGAAGATCAGAAACTCGATTGGTCAGATATGTTCTTCTTTATAGTGCAACCTGCTCAACTACGCAAGCCTCACTTGTTCCCCAAGTTACCTCTTCCCTTTAGGTTTTGCATGCATACAAATGTGCTAACATTCTCAACTATCTCCCAAAATTATCTTTGTTTACACTTTTTAATGTTTTTCAGAGACACATTGGAGATGTATTCGGCTCAAGTTAAGAGCATAGCTAAGATTTTAATAGCTAAAATGGGTGAAGCCCTGCAGATCAAACCTGAGGAAATTGAGAAAATATTTGGTGATGATATGTTCCAGAGTATGAGGATGAATTACTACCCTCCATGTCCGGAGCCCCATCAGGTAATCGGTGTAACTCCGCATTCCGATGCGGCTGCACTCACCATATTGTTGCAGGTGAATGACGTTGAAGGTCTCCAAATCAAGAAAGATGGCAAATGGGTTTTTGTCAAACCGCTACCAAACGCTTTCATTGTCAATGTTGGAGACGTCTTAGAGGTTAGCCATATTTATATGTACACAGAGAGATGATTTGGTGAACTAACTCAGTTTGGTCCTGGTGATGTAGATCATAACGAACGGGATATACAAAAGCATCGAGCATCGAGTAGTGGTGAACTCTGAGAAAGAAAGGCTGTCTTTTGCGACATTTCATAATCCAGGACTGAATAAAGAAATTTCTCCAGCGAAAAGCCTCGTTGAAAACCAAAAGAAGTGTGCAAAATTTAAAAGCCTGATGACTAAAGACTACTTGAAGGGGTTGTTCTCCCGTGAACTCTACGGAAAGGCTTATCTGGATGCTCTGAGAATCTAATGGGGAAGTGGTATCTTGTTTCCCAAGAAACTCGGTCTTTCTCCAGACTAGTCCATTGCTCTGTTTCTGCTTCTGTCTTGCCTCTGGTTTACAAATATTAGATATTAGCTTGTGGGTTTGATATCATAAGACCATAGCTAGTAGGTTTGGTATCATAATAAGACCATAACTTGTGTTTCTTTGTTTCTTAACGTTAGTGAGTCACTGAAAGTACTTATGTAAGAATAGTAGCACATGTTCTGTTTCATACAAAAAAGAATAGTGCACATGTCACTCAACTTTCCAATAGTAGTAAAATGTGTTATATCAAAACACATAACAAGAATGTGAACATGTTCTGTCTCATGCTATGTTTGAAATCAAGCATAGCATAAAATCACTGACATCGTAAGACTCCTAATTAACTTGTTATATCAAAACATTACATCCATCATAATGTGTTAAAACAGCTTTACCACACTCCTTGAATCTTTATATATATTTCTCCTTCTTGGTTAAGAGAATATGGACGATGCGTAATGATATATAAAAATATCTGAATCAGTAAAAACGATGAAGCTTGTTTCGTTTCTTGATGTTCGTTGGTGCTCAACGCTTTCTCTAATAATAGTGATCACATGATTCACACACTGTTTTCTTACAAGTGGTCGATTTAACGCAAGATTTTTAATTCTGACTGACTTCTAAACTTAGTAACTTTTGTGTTAACGTGCGCTGTAAGGAAAGACTAATTGACAAGATTGTTTAGATAACTTAAGAAACCTCAACGTAAGATATACATTCCACTTAACGTATTACCAACCTCTTTAGCAGTCTTGTGGATAACAACAACAGGTCTCTGCAAGCGTAAAGAGTGACGGAAGTGCTTTTTCTTAAAAAAAAAAAAACATAAATTTCTCTAAAAATGGATAAACAGAAAAAAACTTACAAATTGGGGTTAACCTCTATTTTTAGTTGGTTGAAAAATATACAGAAATTCATAATTTTAAGAGATAAATAAAATTTGTTGACAACAGAAAAACAAAATTAAAAATTTGTTTGTTACCACATAAAGCCATGGATTTGCCTCTGCTTATATATACAATACTTTATGAAGCTAACCAAAATAGAATAAGAATCTTTTCATCACTTCAATAATGGAGAAGAGTCTCTATAGATCATTCAGACTCATCAAGAGACTTATGATTATACTTTCATGTCTTTCATATTCCTTTGTTCGATCAGACTGTACAACAACAAATATCCAATATGCATCAGCTTTGGGAGATCCCGGGATGAAGAATGATAGCTTAAGGGTAGCTATAGAATCATGGAACCAGTGCAACGAGGTTGGTGAAGAAGCTAAGAACATGGGAAGCCCTCGAATGGCAGATTGCTTTGATCTCGATTACTCTAGCTCACCCGGTAAGATCAAACCGTTGTAATGTTTTTACTTGAAATGCAATTTCTGCGTTTGCGTTTACATGCAAAAAAAAAACTTGAAACAATTTTTTTCACTTTCAGAAATTTTCAAAGAATAATTCTATTTTTCTATAAATTTTTTTGCAAATAGTTGACGTAGACACCAACAAATAAATTTTGCTTGAGAAGTTTGTAAGATTATAGATTTATAAAAGTGTAAACGCAAACGCAGATATGAAGAAAGATCTGATGTCTTAAACATTAAGCTAAAACTGTTTTGTTGTATTATTGTGACATATGTAGTGAAGATAAACCACAAAGTCAACGAAGCAGACAATAGACTCGGTGTACAGAACGGAACGTACGGTGGCATAGACGCCGGAGAAAGCGCAGACATCTACGCTGCTCAAAAGGAGATATACTTAGGAAACAAATGTCAAGTCATGGACAATCCAAATCCATGGCAGTTTTGGATGATAATGCTAAAGAACGGTAACACGGACACGTTAGCTGCTATCTGTCCTGAAAACGGTAAAAAAGCAAAACCTTCTCCTCCTACGGGAAGGTTTCCATGTTTTGGAAAAGGATGTATGAATATGCCAACGATGCATCACAAGTACACAAGCTTTGTGGATCAAGAATGGCTTATGAGTGGGAGTTTCTATGGGACTTGGGATTTGGATGCTGACCAAGGAGATGATTCTGTGGTTAGTAATAATTCGTATTATAAGGTGAAATGGGAGAAGAAGGTTGGTGTTGATGAGAGTTGGGTGTTTCATCATTTGTTGAAGACTTCTTCTAAGTATCCATGGCTGATGCTTTATCTACGAGCTGACGCTACTCGTGGTTTTTCTGGTGGGTATCATTACGATACTAGAGGGATGATGAAGATGGTAAGTATCTTATCCTCTGTCTCATCTTTGGGTGACTCGGGCCTGTTTTAGAGTTTTATATCAAATTTTAAAGAGCTTATACTGAGGTTTCTTAGAACATGTTTATTGCGAGGTTTTCAGGGTCACGGTTTTTAGCAAAATTAAGAAACTTTCTCTTAACTTTTAACTTAAAAAAAATTAAGAATCGGTTATTAAATATCTTATTTAAAAGACGGTTCTTAATTATTTTAGTTAAAAGTTAAGAGATAGTTTCTTAATTCCGCGAAAAAATCTATCATAAGAACCTTAGGGCATCATTATCGGTGGTCCCTTAGCGTTGTCTTTTAGCGGGAAAGTCCTTTAGCTTTTAACTAAAAACAGTCCTTTAGCTTTTAACAAAAAAACGCTAAGGGACATCCGTAAAGTCTCTTATTTCTCTTATCGTTTTTCAGTTAAAAGTTAAAAGACTTTCCTGCTAAAGTACAATGCTAAGACCATCCGCAACAAGGGGTCCTTAGGGAGAATCCTTAAAGAAATATTAATTTTATAATCAATGGGTCTCATTAACAGTTAAGGATTTTAAGAATAAAATCCTTAGAGCATCCGCAATGGCGGATCCTTGGGAAGAATCCTTAGGAAAAAAGAAAAAGGGGTATTTCAGATTATATAAGGACATTTCAGATTTTTTCTTTAAAAAAAAGAAAACTGACCAATCACGGACCGCCACGTGGGCAGTGGAGCCCATAAATAGTGTAAGGATCAATCCTTACATAAGGATTTTTAGGATAAAATCTTTAACTATTCATGGGACCCATTGATTATAAAATTAATATTTCTCTAAGGATTCCCCGTAAAGATTCGCCATTGCGGATGGTCTTATGTAAGGATTGATCCAGATGGATCCTTACACTATTCATGGGCTCCACTGCCCACGTATCGGTCCATGATTGGTCAGATTTTTTTATTTTAAAGAAATAATCTGAAATATCCTTATATAATCTGAAATACCCCTCTTTTTTTTTCCCTAAGGATTCCCCTAAGGATCCCTTGTTGCGGATGCTCTTAGGGACCATTGATAATGTTACTCTTACAATAAACATGTTCTTAACGTCCAAATTGTTAATTTTTTTTATTAAAACTAATCTAAAAATGTTAATTATACAATGTTTTTTGTAACTAAAATACTCTGTTTTGTAATATTTATATGACGCAAACAAGACGCTGAAATCTCCGGACTTCAAGGTTCGATTCAAGCTAGAGATTCTAAAAGGTGGCGGTTCAGGGAGCCAGTTTTATCTAATGGACATGGGAAGTTGCTGGAAAAACGACGGCACCGAATGCGACGGTGATGTCACAACCGACGTCACTAGGTACAGTGAGATGATAATCAACCCCCAGTCAACCGCCGTTTGCAGCCACAACCACTTAAACGCTTGTCCACCGTACCACGCGTTTCCAAACGGGACTAAAATTCACAGGACTGACAAAGAGAGGTTCCCTTACGAAGCGTATCACTATTACTGCGTTCCTGGAAACGCGCGTTTCGCGGAAGCTCCGTATGATGTTTGTGATCCGTATAGTAATCCACAGCCGCAGGAGATACTGCAGATCTTGCCTCATCCTGTGTGGGAGGAGTTTGGGTATCCGACAAAGAAAGGACAAGGTTGGATTGGAGATCCGAGAAGTTGGGAACTTGATGTCGGGAAACTCTCTCAGTCACTTCACTTTTACCAGGTATTGTACTAATCAATATACAGTAATATGATATCTGCATGTTAGCATTATAACGTATTTTCATTATTACAATCCAATTAAAACTTGCAGGATCCAGGAACAGAACCGGTGAAAAGACATTGGTCATCAATAGATTTAGGAACTGAAATATATATGAGCAAGAATCAAATTGCAGAATGGACTGTATCTGATTTCGACATTGTTATACCAAATACCAATATTTAAGTGGAATAATGTATATTTTCTTAAGAACCACTTTTAGAAGACATATGAACGTGAACTCATCAAGAATCTTGATTTATCTATAGAAATGAGAAAGAAATGTTTCAGAAAAACTAACAAACCGAACCAATTCGAAAGTGCCAAACCGGACTGAGATTTATCTATAGACTCACTGATTTTAATAAATATATTTAGTGTAACTGAACCAATAAAACAACTATTGGTTAAAAAAAGATTGTAATTAGTATGGTTATATTGATCATTAATGAAAATTTATTATATTTTTGATTTTTCGTTATTAAAATCAAATCACCAAATCAAATCATTGTTGTATAATCAAATCAGAATAAACCAAATCAGATTATAAAATAGAAAGACGGTATCTCACCGTACCAAGACCGGTAAATAAATCTAATATGATTGGCTAGATATAGTATAGTACCATGATCGCGCAGCACTAGATTCCTTCCTGATCTTCCCCTATAGACTGAAACCACCACCGGAACACGGTACCAACCGTTAATTAACAGCCGTCAAAAAACACGAGCCGAAAATTTCCACAGCCCTTTTTCTTTTCAGTTTCCTTTAAAAAGCTACCGATTTGATGAGTCTGTTTCTGTAACGAGAAAAAACGAGTGAAACCAAAAGGTCTCTCCTTTTCCACCGATCGAGAAGTGTTTCTCTTACAAAGTCGAGACCTTTTCTCTCTCTCTCTCTCAGTGTGGTGATAATGGCGAGTGATCTTGCGATTGACACCGAGAAGTACTCTCTCTTAGAGGCTTTCAATGTCGATGTCGAAGTGGAGAAACAAGAGTTTGAAACGTTCTCTCTTTGCTTCTGGGTTTATCTCTTGGATTCCACTACGTACCCTTCAACAATCATCAGACAGGTTAAAGCTAAGCCCTTTTTGTGTGTGTTGTGTGATAAAGTTTCAACCTTTGGATTGCTTTTTGAGAGTTTTTCTAACGGTTTTTTCAGGTTCATTCCGACATGAGTTTTAGTGCGCCTTTCCTTGTTTTAGATGAGAACAAGAAGATGATCCTTTTGCCATTGACTCTGTTTCATAAGGAAGCTCCTGATCCTGTTAACACTGCTTCTTGGACTGAGGTTCCTAATGTTTCCACCACTGCTGAGTTTCCTCTTCAGAGATGGGTTCATGTGGGTTGTGAGGTAATGAAAATATACATCTCTGAAGAGTGAAGACTCTTTTCTAGTTGAAATTTAACTGATTTTATGTTTTTTTTTTCTTAGGTTTCTAGAAACTACATGCGTCTTTATATATGTGGAGAGATGGTAGGAGAGAAAGTGTTGACTTCTGTAATGATGACCAATGGAGCAAGTTCGGATCATGTGCGAAGGGTTTCGTTGTTTAGTGTTGGTGGAGATGGTTATAGCGTTCAAGGTTTCATCCACTGTGGAGAAGTTTTGCCGTCTACTGTCCATGTAAACCATCATTACACAAAGGTATCTGTTTTAAGTCTCTGCCCTCTCGAAAAGACTCTTGTGTCCTGTGTGTTCTTTATTTTGCTATTCATTTCTTGGCTGCAGGACCCACCTCTATGTTTATCTGTTGAGAAGCCATCTACTTGTGAAATAGATGAAGATGGTGTTTGGAGTATCGTTGGCGAAAAGGTTTAGGAGTTTTGTTTGCCAACTGTATATATATGCTTTTGACGTCTCATTGAACATCTTGTTTTTCTAATAGGCATCTTGTGGGATGATTTTTTCCTTGGATGTTGTTTTATCAAATGCTATTGGACAACCTGTGCGGAAGGATGTGCAGGTTAATTCTCTTTATGCTTTTGTCTAAAACTTGTTTACCTTTGGAAGCACGTCTGATTGGTTTTGATCACACCTAGGTTGTGGCTTCTCTACTGTATGCTAATAGCGGGACCCCTGTTGAGAAGACTAGTGACTTGGAAGCTCCTCTTTTGGTAAGCTATGACGGAGTTGAATTCTCAGCGGAAGATAAACCGTGCAACTTATTGAACGGATGTGCTTCCTTGAAGCTCAAAATATCTCAGGTAGTGATATAAGTCTTAAGTCATTGGGAGTGACGTTTGGAATTTTCTAAATTTTTTGTTTTCTGATGTTTAAGCATTATTCCAAGTGTGACAAGAGACTGTTCTGCATCAAATTCGAAATACCGAACAAGAGTTCTTATCCCTTCCTCGAAGCTTTTACCAACCAAATGCGTTGCATCTCAAGGACCGGTGGTGATTCTGTTACACCTAAAAGGTTGAACCACATTGACCACCATCCTTTAGTTGAAGGAGTGCCATCAATTAATGGAGCTTCAGATAGCTCTTTGTCTATGAAACGAATCAAATTAGGAGAAGAAAAGGTTCCTGAGAGTGAGGTAAATCCAGTTTCTCTCCATGGTACGAGTATGGAGTGGAGACCTCAGAACCAGGACGAGGAAGAAGAAGAAGAAGGAGAAGAAGAAGAGGAAGATCACTCTTCAACAGACTCAGAGAACACTGAAATTAGAGGCTCGACGGGTTCGAGAAAATATACAATCTCAGACTCTACGATTTTCAGATACTGCCTTGGAAACTTAACAGAGAGATCTCTTCTTCTCAAGGAGATCACAAACAACTCAGGGGATGAGGAAGTTTCTGAATTTGCAGCTCAAGTTTCTCTCTACTCCGGCTGCTCCCATCACGGGTAACTATATTTAACCAGTCTCTCAATCACATATACTACGAGAATAAGTTGAAACATGATGTTTTTTTGTCAGTTATCAAATCAAAATGGCAAGAAAACTGATAGCCGAAGGAACAAATGCGTGGATTTTGATCTCTCGGAACTATCAACATGTTCATTGGGACAATGTAGTGATTGAGATTGAAGAACATTTCATGAGGATAGCTAAATGCAGCAGTAGATCTCTCACTCACCAGGTTCTTCTCTCTTTCTCATATATCAAAGTTTTGATCTGGTCTTGATGAATGTGACTCTGAGACATGAAATTGTTGGTCAGGATTTTGAGCTTTTGAGGAGGATAAGTGGATGCTATGACTACGTAACACAAGAGAATTTTGAGAAAATGTGGTGTTGGTTGTTCCCTGTTGCTTCTTCTATATCCAGGGGATTGATCAACGGGATGTGGCGCTCTTGTTCTCCTAAATGGATAGAAGGGTTCGTTACAAAAGAAGAGGCGGAACATTCACTTCAAAGTCAAGAACCGGGTACTTTCATTCTCAGGTTCCCTACTTCAAGAAGCTGGCCACATCCTGATGCTGGTTCCTTGGTTGTGACTTATGTTGGTCATGATTTCGTGATTCGTCATCGATTACTTGCTGTCGATCACATCTGCGAGTAAGAAGCTCTCTATCTTTGTCTCTCCTCTTATGTCTCTCTCTATCTTGTGACATTTGTTTGTTCTCGTTTTTTTAGTTCAAGTGAAAGGTATACAGATGCAAAACCGTTGCAAGATATGCTATTGGCAGAACCTGAGCTATCTCGGCTTGGAAGGTGAGAGATAGAGATAAAGACTAGTTGTATAGCCTTTTTTGTTGAAGCAAAGAGAGATGAAATTCAAGGTTTTAAAATTTTGGTTTTGGTGAATCTTTTTGCAGGATTGTAAGGAGCATTTGAATGTCAACACATACTGCACGATTAAGACAAACAACGGTTGTTATTAAGGTTTCCTTGATACTTTTTGCTGATATATAATTAGATCTGCTAAGTCTCTTATTGATACTAACTTTTGTAAAGTTCAGTGACTTGGAAATTAATTAGTGGAAACCTATTTGTGTTTTTTTGTTTAATATAAAAAATCCAGTCTCCGACAAGAAAGAAAGGAGTAGTGAAATTTGCTTCGTATGCTGGAGTATATATTGTATTGCGTGGCCCATGTACTCCCCTAACTACTGCTTGGTTGGGGCATAAATGCTATGTCATATACTATTATAGTCTTATATAGTACTAAAGAAATTATTTAAAGTTAAAAGTTAATCACATATTCAGACATAATTTACATGATCTTTTTTATTTGTAGAGCTCATTTTTAGTAGGTTTGATGATGTATAATGCATCTGACAAGATTACATAACTAATTTTTTTAGTTGTAACTAATTAGCATGAAGAGATCATTATAAACATGAGTAAATGGAATAGAGTTGTAAGATAACTAAAAGAAAATTAATAATCTAACTGAAAACTATACAAATGTATGGAATTCATTATTTTGTCAGTGTAGTTAACCAAATTTGATGTTTTTTGTTAAAAAAAAAAAAAAAAGTTACCATTTGATTCCCCTAGAAGCTGATAATTATACAGTGAGGAAAAAGATTTAAAAGAGTGAGATCTAGAATTAATAAATACTAGATTTTGACCCGCGCTTGAAAGCACGGAAAATTTTTATGATTAATAATTTATATAATTGGGTTTTGTCTTAATTTAAAGAATATTTTGATATAAAATCAGTTCACCAAAATTTGTGGTGAAGATTGTTTTTCATTAGTTTTTAGTTTCAGTTTTTATTTTTAGATTTTGGTTTTTGTTTTTTAGTTTTTAAGTTTCTACTTTTCATTTTCAGTTTTTGGTTTGAGTTTTTAATTTTTAAACCCGCTGAGTTAATTTGAACTAATATTACCAACAAACAAATCTCAAATAATTGAACATCTAATTTAAAACTGAAAAGATGATAGCAATTTTTTTTAAAAAAAATTGAAATAGTTTATTTTGTAAATAAACAAAGCAAAAAAATATAACATGTGTTTTCAACTTTTGGTTTTGGATTTTAGTTTTTAGATTTGGTTTTTGGTTTTGCTTTACATTTTTTAAATCAGTAAATTATTTAAGAAAAATAAAATAATAAATTATTTAAAAATTACCATTGCAATTTATCAAAAGAAAGTGATTGTTATTTAAAATAAAAAATATATTAACATGTTTTAAAGTACATGATTTAAATAAATGATTGATAATAGATAATTTTATTCTGTTAAAAATATTAAATACCTTTTGGGCTGAAAATAATAATTGATTTTTTGATCTTTTAAGGTGAAAAGTTTATTCAATGTTTTTGGAGTTTTTTCTTAATATTAAGCCAGAAAACCAAACTATATAATTTGTTCAAAAAATAAAAGTAAACCCAAGACTATATTCCATTAATAACCACTGGTTTAATTTAAGTATAATTAGTCGATTTTCATATTCCATATTTTGATAATATATATTCTTTTAGAACATTCCATATTTGTAAGAGAAAATATGTGTTTTTGGTATATACATAGATACCTGCCATATTTTGAAGGTAGTTTACATTAAGGCTCTTTATATTAATTGTGTTGGTTTAATTTAAGTAATACGGTTCAATCAATTATATGATTTATATTATTTGTAGCATTATAGAAATGGTCCAAATTTAAATGACAACTTGTATCAGTAGATAAAAAGAATGACTCTATTTTAATAGAGTAGACTAGTAGTACTCTTTTTTGTCAAGTAATTAATATTTTTATAATGAGCCCCTATTATTATAAGCTTTCCTATTATTATAAGCTTTCCTAGAAATCAGAAAAAGGATATTCTCTATTAATCTCAAAAATAATTTGATACTATTTGGATGACAAACCAATCAGTACGTACCACGTGGTGACATCTCAACTTCTGATTTGATAAAAGAAATGTTTTCCCTCTCTACAATTTGTACTAATACTGAATAAAAAAACGGACACAACAAATCTCAAATCTCTTTTTTTCTCTCTCTCTTGTCCTCCTCCAAAGGTCGAGTTTTGAGAGACTTCTCTCATGTGGTTTTGTCTCGTCCACCCAAACAAAATCAAGACTTTTTTTTTACACTTCCCCTCGTGTTCATAATCTAACAAGACTCTTCGTGTCTGAGAAAATGATGATGATGTCATGTCGGAATATAGACTTGGGTACGAGTGTTCTTGATCTGATGCCATGCGGGTGTTCTTGCAGCTCCTCTCCTACAACTCGTCGAATCTTCTTTGGTAAGTGTTCTAAGACTGTTTCCACTATTGGTAGAAGAAGCTACGGCGCTGGAAACGTGGTTTTCCTCCGGCGTGATTCACACAGCTGCAGAGCTATTCCGGCGAAACCCAAAGAGAGTTCTCTGGTCAACGGTATGCTTTCTCAATTTTTTATTCTTAATACAATCTAACTTTTGGTAGTGCAACTGCAACGATTGAGATTCTTTGATTAAGTAGTTGAATGGTTTATGATGATTGTGTAGGACTTGGTGAAGATAAATCAGTGATGATCAATCTGAGGCAAGAGTCAAAAAAGCCGATAATTTTGGAGAATCTGTTTGAGGTAGTGGCTGATGATCTTCAGAGTTTGAACGACAATCTTCTCTCGGTTAGTACTCAGCATCATTTTTACTTCTTCTGGTGTCTTAAAACGAGAGCTGTAGTGTTAAATGTAAATTGCTTCTTCTATGTTTTATAGATTGTTGGTGCGGAAAATCCGGTTTTGATATCTGCGGCTGAGCAAATATTCAGCGCTGGTGGTAAGAGAATGAGACCCGGTTTGGTTTTCCTCGTATCACAAGCCACTGCAGAACTAGCTGGCCTAAAGTAATCTATACAATTGTCATTACTATTGTTGTGTAATCTTTAGCAATGAAAATGATGGTTTGTAGTTAAATCTTTGGTGCAGGGAGCTTACGGTAGAGCATCGGCGTTTAGCTGAGATTATTGAGATGATTCATACCGCAAGTTTGATACATGATGATGTCTTAGATGAAAGTGATATGAGAAGAGGTGAGACAAAAGTTTTGATCAGGATTTTTACATTTTTCTCTGTAAAGTGTTTTCAATGTGTGATTGTTAGGAAAGGAAACGGTTCACGAGCTTTTTGGAACAAGAGTAGCTGTGTTAGCTGGTGATTTCATGTTTGCTCAAGCTTCATGGTACTTAGCAAATCTTGAGAACCTACAAGTCATTAAGCTCATAAGTCAGGTTAGTAGAATTTTTTTTTAATTTTTTTCTTGAGATTGGAAGAGGGTAGACAATATAAGACAACAACACTAGGTCCACAGCCTGAGTGACCGCTGGGACGAAACTAATATTACATATTGTGTTTTCGGGTCTGGAAGATTGAGTGACCGCTGGGACGAAACTAATATTACATATTGTGTTTTCGGGTCTGGGAGATTACAGGCTTTGACCTCGAACCTCCTCGGATTTTTTTTTTTTTTTTTAAGAATCATAGTTTATTTCTTTTTCAGGTGATCAAAGACTTTGCAAGCGGTGAGATAAAGCAAGCATCAAGTTTATTCGATTGTGACGTGAAGCTTGATGACTACTTACTCAAGAGTTATTACAAGACAGCTTCATTAGTAGCTGCAAGCACCAAAGGAGCTGCAATATTCAGTAGAGTCGAAACCGAGGTAGCTGAGCAAATGTATCAGTTCGGAAAGAATCTTGGATTATCATTTCAAGTAGTTGATGACATTTTGGACTTCACTCAATCCTCAGAGCAGCTAGGGAAGCCTGCAGCAAATGATTTGGCTAAAGGTAACATAACGGCTCCAGTGATATTTGCGTTAGAGAATGAGCCGAGGCTGAGAGAGATCATTGAGTCTGAGTTTTGTGAGCCTGGTTCGCTTGATGAAGCGATTGAGATGGTTAGAAGTGGTGGTGGGATCAAGAGAGCTCAAGAGTTGGCTAAGGAGAAAGCAGAGCTTGCTTTGAAGAACCTGAGCTGTCTTCCTAGAAGTGGTTTCAGATCAGCTCTGGAGGATATGGTGATGTTTAATCTTGAAAGGATTGATTAGCTTCATAGAGCATTATATGAAATTGTAACACTATTATTTGTTCAAACACATATATTTTTTTTCTCTTATTTCATAAAAGGAATAATAACACAGTTTCTTGCCTACATTGAAAAAATAATAGCCACTCTTCTTTTGTTGATTAACGTTTCTTTTACTTATACATATTATTTTTTTCTTACTAATTCGGATGATTATAAACTAATTTTCATGAATAAATCAAACAAATTTTTAGAGTTGAAAAAAACAAAAACAAAAAAACATTCATTTGTAAAATATTAGAAAATAATGACAAATGAGTATATGAATAGCAAAAGAACTTTAGATGGGTGCTAACAAAAAAAGAATAGCAAAAGAGCTGTGGTTTTACCAATCCAAAATTACATTTCAAACTTTAATAAATATTTAAAATATCAACTCTAGTTTTGTTTTGCTATTCTTATTAAAGATTATACAACGATCTCGTTATAAATATAAGATAACCATGAAAAACAATTGGTTACATTTGTTTCAATTGTATGTTTTCATTTGATTATAATGTTAAGTAACATAAAATATTTAAAAATATCGATGATTGCTACTTACCACTTATATAAAAAAATTTAAAACATTTAATTATTACTTTAAATATATATAATCGCTAAAAGAAGTTCTTGATGTGTTTCTCTCCAACCATCAAAGATTCCTTTTTTCTTCTATGATTCGGCACTCTTATATTGGACTAAGTAAGCTCAAAGCATGTTCGTTAATTATTTTGTCGAGATTTCAACAAAACAATGACAAATCCTATTTCACTTCACGTGACAAATTCCTTTTAGCATATAAAAAACATGACAAGTTTTTTTGTAACGAAGTAGAAACTAGACAAACAAAAAAAATAAAGACCTCGATGATTAAGTTTTGCCGGTAGATAATGAAAATGAAAACACATGGTGACAGTACGAGCTAAGAGGGGTAAATTCGTCATTTAATATGATTTCTTTTAAAACCATGAACTACTCAGTCAGGTAGTGGCATTTCCCGCGTTTATACCGGCACATGTCTGTTTCAGTATGGTTTATAAGTGACTCAACAATTGTGCAAAGAGGAATTTCATGAACAAAAAATAAAATTGAAATATATATAGATTTGAATCTGTTTTTTTTTATATTTACAAAAGCATCCAAATAAAAACCGGACTCAAACTGTATTTTTACTACACTTTCGAGTTTCTGTTTTGTTGATGAACAAAAAAAGGGAAGCACCTTTTAATTTTCTTCATTCTTGTTCTACTTCCTCTACACTTTTCGAATGATCAAATGAGCACCGTGTTGTGGGAATGTAGTTGCAGCTGGGAAAGGAGCATGAGTATACGATGGAGAAAGCTCTACACTAAAACGTTGAAGAACCTTTGCCACAAAGAGCTTAGCTTGCAGCATCGAAAAGTTTTGACCAATACAAGTCCTAGGTCCGGAGCTAAACGGCAAGAAGGAGAGTCTTCCTTTGGTTGCGCTTGCAACGCCATTGATGAATCTCTCGGGCTTAAACTGTTTCACATCGTCCCCCCAAAGATCAGGGTCATGGTGCACCAAGAGCATTGGTATTGTGACCACAACTCCTTCGGGTAAAGAGAATCTCTCTAGCTTCACTTCTTGTTTAGTTATACGACATGTGAAGTAAGCTGGAGAATAGAGTCGGAGAACTTCGTGGAGAATCATTGACACCTAAAGATAATGGCCCAAACCAAAATAAAAAAGGTTATAAAAAAAAAACTTTTTATTTTGTTGTAATGTGGTTTAATGTGTTTTGAAAATGTATACTTACTACTTTCAAGTGGCTTAACCCTTCAAAATCTGGCTCGTTGTTACCAAACGCCTGAGAGATCTCGTCTCTTGCTTTGTTTTGCCAGTCTTGATGTTGGCTTAGAGCAACAAGAGTCCAAACAAACAATGAAGAAGTCACATTTTGACCAGCTAGATAGAAAGCCTTACAGTCATCTATCAGGTCATCAATACTCAGCCCTGAATCTGGTCCCTGTTCTTTGATTTGCTTTGTATTTGAGGCCAACATAGAGCACAACAAGTCACTGTCCTTGTCGGCTTGTCTTCCTCTTTTTATCTCCTTCTCTTTTGTCTCAATCATAGCTTTAAACATAGCCCTCATGTCCCTTTCGGTTTCTCTCAACCTCTTGTTAAACTTTGTTGGCAAAAATCTGCAATACAAGAAAACATGAAATTTAATTTAGAAAATTTTCATTAAATTTAATAAAAATAAAAAAAATATCTTCTTACTTTGATCCAGGGATGTAGACCGAACGAATAGCTTGGAGACCAAGATCAATTTGTTCTTGCTGGACTTCAAAGATTTTGATGCCATCTTTGTAGGACTCACCAAAAGAAGCACGAGCAAGCATGTTTCTTGTTAAGTCATGGCAATAAGTCCATGAATCAAGTTCCACTGTTCCTTTTGCTGATGCTAATTTATCCCATTCTTCTAACATCTCTATGCAACTTGAGCTGAATGCTGGAAGTATACTCTATCCATTTCCAAAAACAAAACAAAAAAAAGATAAGATTTCATTTAAAAAAAAACAAAACCAGTCTCATGCAAAAATTCAGGTAAACTGGTCCTGTTGATATATAAACATTTATTGATGATTTTTCTTGTCGAGGTAATGAGAACTGTTATGCCGACCAAAGAAGTTGATGTGTTTAGAAGTTCTTGATTTGAAATATGATTTCACCTTTTTGTAATGTGTCTTTTTGGCCTTTTCTGTATTTTGGCTTTTAGACTTTAATAGTTGGTGTAGGTGGCATGGCTTCTACAGTTCTTTGCTGACTTTTCTCTGTTTGCTATTTTTTCTTGAAATACCATTTAAAAATCTTTTGTTCATCTTGAAAACAATAATTTAATTTAATCTATAGAAAAATATTTAATACTATATGATTAGTTTATTTATTGATTTTAAAACTCCCAACTACCGAGAGAAACAAGTAAAAGGCGTTACTCATCTGACTTTCTTTTCGGAAAACGGGAAAAAAGAGAGAATGAAACTGATCAAAATCTAAAGAATGAGACGAAAATGACGTGCATAAAGTTTCACATTATTTCAGGCTTAATAATTTATTATAAAAAAACAAAATAGTTATTAGAGTCAAATTGAGCAGTGTATTTCTTCCATCATCACTTTACCGAAAACTAAAGAAAAAATACCTTCAAATTGTCGATACGAAAAGCAGGATTAAGAATGCTTCGATGTTTGGACCAGTTAGGACCTTCATGATTGAGAAGACCACTGAGGAAAACATGATTGTGTGACCCAATCTTTGGTTTTGGGAAGAGTTCGTGTCTTGACATTATCTCTCGTAGTGTCTCTGGATCCATTACTATCACGTTCGGGTACGGGCCGTACCATGTGAAACACTTCTTCCCTATTTTTTTTGTAAAAAATATTACCAATTTAAAGTTCAACTAATTTACATATGAAACAGATACACATATAAGAATAATATGTATTGGAGAAAAGTACTTTGATATGATCCACTAAAAAGTGATTATTACTTTATTATATGTGAACAAGATTTCGATTATGGCCAGAAGAAGAAAAAAAGATACCAGATTTAGATCTTAATTATGCAAATGTACAACTAAAAACATTATAATATATGCACATAGTTAAAATCTGGTAATACATTGCTCTGATGAATCTCTCTGTTAATAGCTTGAAAATAACAGAAATCAAGATAATGAAGATGAGCAACTCCTACCAACTTATGAAATGTTTTTGTTTGTTTGTATGAATCTAAACCAAGACCAAGTCAGCAAGTCTAGTTGGTTCATATTTAGTTAGATTCACATGTTAGGGGACATACCATGATTTAGGACAGTGTGATGGAGAAAAGGCATCATGCGAGGGAGAAAATCAGCGGTGAGAGGGAGAGGAAGAGAGTGAGCAACTTCATCCATCTGATTGCTCTCTCTCATATCTCCCACCAAAATTCTGTAAGAATTTCCAGAGAATCCTTGTTTTTTCAGATATTTCTCCAGTCTCTTTGGCCTTAACCAGACCCAATTCACAGCTCTCCATACCCAATTCAGTATGAAGATCGAAAACCCGATCAAGAACACTCTTCTTACTGCAAATATCTCAATCATCTATATCTTTTTGGTCTTGATCTATGAAAGAAGAGAGGAAGAGAGAAAGGAAAAGAGACAAGACTATAATGATGATGCTTATAATTTCATCAGTTGACTATATATGTTGGAGGCAGCTGTATTGCGTGAATATAAACGTATAATAAAAATGTGATAATATTACAAAGGATAGAGAGAAGATGTATGTAATAAATCGCTGTATGTGCAACTGGCAATGAATTTATAACAACAAGTTCTTTGGTGTAATGTTAAAAAAAAAAAGTTATTTGGTGTATATTTCCAAAAATTTAATTTTGTCTTCCTATCCTTACGCTACATGCATGTGGCTTTATTGCATGAATATTTTGTGTATTTTTAAATTTCATTTTGTCATTTTAAATATACACTATGATACTTCCATTTACGTTCTGTTCATCTCTCCTTTTTTTGTGTTGGGGTCTGTTTTTGTCGTATACGTTAGGGAGAGGAGAGTTCTCACGCAATTCAGGTAGATAATATGAAATTCGTAAAATTTATTAAAGTTAAAACTGATAGTTATCAGTATTGATTTGTTAGTGTAAAGTTAATTTAGTAGCAGACAATAAATATGAAACCAGGTGGCGTTGTTCTTTGGAGACGATGAATAGCAATGTCAACTCTCTTACGAAAACGCATGTGATATAACATTAATAATTTATATGAGATAATGTTCGTCCAACCATATCAATTAATTTTAAATTTTAATATATTGCAGTTACGCGTAGCCTAGGGTCATTATCATTTACTAAAATCCATGACGGACAAAATAGGCCTAACAGCTACAGGCGTCGTTGGTTAATTAAAATAGTTATAACGTAAGCTTATTTGATTAGCTACTACTTTATTGTTTTGTTCGAGAAGTAATAAATAGACTATGCTTAATGAAAACAAAAAAAATCTTATGGCAAAGTTAACCAAAAACGTATTTCTATACTGTGGTTACAATCTAATTCTTATTTCTACACCGTGGTTAAAATCGTAGTTATAAATATCAACGTTTTACAAGATTTTTGAAAGAATCAAAACTAAAAGTCGAGTCATAGTCAGCTCCGACTTTTAGTTGTAATAACGTCTAAAAAGGTGGGACGTTTCATGATGTGTTGTGGTCTAAAATCCCAAATTTGTGTCGTTTGTACAGAATAAAAGGGATTTTGTTGAATTGGTTCAGACAGAATATAACAACTCTTCTTTAAAGACAGGTGAGAATGTGTTTATATTGTTGCAAACAAACAAAAGTTGGTTAGAGAAAACAAAATATTCCTAAATTTTTTTGACTCTATATTAATTATACTGTGCGAACCAGAAAATAATTGACTTTTGTATCAGAAAGATAAACATTGAAAATTTGAGGGAGAATTGAAACAATCACCAGAATTGTCAATTTTTAAAAGATCTAAGAACAAGGAAACTATCTCCTAAGAGTAGTTAAACAATGTGAATTTAGTTTCAAAAAAAAGAAAGGAAACTATCTCCTAACAAAAAAACGTGCATGATTCAGTAATCTAAGAAAATATATGGATTAAAGACTCATACCTAGTACCTAGATCTGTGAACATATTAGTTTTATAAGAATACACAAGTTTTCGTTTCTATAATAAAAATATTGTTAGTAAAATATTTTTGTTGTCACAAATACTTTATAGTAAACCCTTGTAATTTATTTTATTGTTTACCAAATGCTTCTCTTGTAGTTTGTTTTATTTGAGATGTACTAATATTCTTTCACTTTCACCCTTCTCTGAAAAACAAAATATTACTAGAAAAATAACTCATGTGTGCAGGCAGCAGAACTCAATTTTAATTTTATTGTCTCCATAGACAGTTTTGGATGGCTACAACAAGAGTCCAAAATGAGGAAGATGAGAGAGCACGTGAGAGTTACAAAGAAATATCACGTGAGAAAGTTATACAAATAAATGGGCTACAATATATAAATAAGCCCATCTTATTTTAAAAAGCCCAAACTAGTGAATATTCTTCTCCCATACACCTCCTCATTGGCGATTTTGCAGTATAAAAGGAAACATCGGTTAGGTTTTGAAATCCGTGTGATTTCGCCATGACCAACCACGACGCTATTTACGGAGTCTTCGCCGAGAGAGATTCGCCGTCCGACGATTCTAGCGGCGGAGGTCGGAGGAAGAGGCGTAGGGATCATCAGGAGGCCGATTTAACCAAGCCTGTCAATTTCGTTTCTGCAGGTAATGTTACGCCGAATGATCAAGAGGTTGTTAGGGATTCTAGAGAACGTAGTAATGATGAATTAGATAGTGATGGTAATGTGATTGATGTTGTTAGTGAGGAGGATAATCTGTTGCTGGGTGCTTTTGGGAAGAAGATAGCTAAGGGGGCGAAGATGAGAGTTAAGGCGAAGAAGGGGAAGAGAAGTGGAGAGGGAGGGGAGAAGGATGGTTTAGGTGGTGATATAGGTATGTATGAGAAGGATAATAGAGGAATTGGTATGAAGATTCTTGTAAATATGGGGTACAAAGGAGGTGGGCTTGGGAAGAACCAGCAAGGTATTGTAGCTCCTATTGAAGCACATTTGAGGCCGAGGAATTCTGGTCTTGGTTTCAATGGTTTTAAGGAGGTTAAGTTGCCTGATTTAAAGGAGGAGGAGAAGAAGAATGTTGTGAATGATCAGAGTTATGGTGATAGAGGTGGTTTGAAGAAGAAGAGGAAGAAGGTGAGGAAGGAAGTTTATGTCACTGCGGATGAGTTGTTGGAGATGAAGCAGGAAGAGGGTTTTGGTGGTGGACAGACCATTATTGATATGCGAGGACCACTGGTTCGGGTAGTGACGAATTTGGAAAATTTAGATGCAGAGGAGAAAGATGTTCCAATGCCGGAGCTACAACACAACTTACGACTGATTGTTGATTTGGTCGAACTTGAAATTCAGAGGATTGATAGGGACTTGAGGAACGAGAGGGAATCAGGGTTAAGCTTGCAGCAGGAGAAGGAGATGCTTATAAAAGAAGAAGAGAGGCAGAAAACACACTTAGATAACATGGAATGTATCCTAGATGAAATATTTCTGATCGTGCTGGAGAATGCGTCTGGGAGTTTGACATTGGATTCACTTGCTAGTCGTTTTGGGGATCTGCAAACAAGCTATCCTGAAGATTATAAGCTTTGTAACTTGTCCACCATTGCTTGCTCACTGGCCTTGCCTCTGTTTATCAGAATGTTTCAAGGCTGGAACCCTCTAAGCGATGCTGTGCATGGTCTGAACGCTATGTCTTCTTGGAGAAAGCTTTTGGAAGTCGAGGATAATCAAAATATCTGGGTATTATCAACGCCTTATAGCCAACTAGTCTCGGAGGTAGTGTTACCTGCTGTGCGTATAGCAGGCATCAATACGTGGGAACCTAGAGACCCTGAGCCGATGCTTAGATTCTTAGAGACATGGGAAAATTTACTGCCTTTATCTGTCTTGCATACGATTCTGGACACTGTAGTGCTGCCAAAACTGTTAACTGCTGTTGAATATTGGGATCCACGAAGGGAACTTGTTGCCATCCATGTTTGGGTGCATCCTTGGTTGCCAATACTTGGACAAAAGTTGGAGTTTCTGTATCAGATCATTCAGATGAAACTGAGTAAAGTTCTTGATGCTTGGCATCCTAGTGATCCATCCGCCTACACTATTCTCTCACCATGGAAAACGGTTTTTGACGCTACAAGCTGGGAACAACTTATGCGACGTTACATAGTTCCCAAACTTCAGCTGGCCATGCAAGAGTTTCAGATAAACCCGGAAAACCAGGAATTAGACCGGTTCAATTGGGTTATGAAGTGGACATCTGCAGTGCCGATCCACCTAATGGCTGATTTGATGGAGAGGTTCTTCTTCCCCAAATGGCTTGATGTGTTGTACCATTGGTTACTCTCTAAACCGAGGTTCGAAGAGATCCACGACTGGTACTATGGCTGGAAAGAGTTATTCCCGCAGGAGCTTTCAGCTAACGAGAGGATCCGGATTCAGTTGAAGCGTGGTTTAGATATGTTGATGGAAGCTGTTGAAGGAGTTGAAGTATCTCAGCCAAGGGCAAATGCACAAGTGCAGAAACACTTTGAGCCGGTTCGGGCTGAGGCCAAGGCTCAGATGGAAAGTAATGAAGTGCTGAGTTTGACAGAAGTGTTGGAAGTATTTGCACAAGAGAAGGAGTTGCTGTTCAAACCTAAACCTAATAGAATGCACAATGGTCTTCAGATATATTGGTTTGGGAATGTGAGTGTGGTTATAGACTCGGTTAACCAGACGCTGTTGGCTCGGAAAGAGGGAGGCTGGTTTCTTGTAACTCCTGATGACTTGTTGAGGATGCACAACAACAATGCAACTGTTTCTGGAAAACGATAGATTACATTTATTTATTTATTAATTGGAGCTACTTGTTTTGTGTAAATCATCTTATCATAACTATCACTATTTTTGAAGTTTCAAAAAAAAATCATTTAAGAGACATGTGGTGGGTTATGATCATTACTCATCGAAGCTTCGAGTTCGTGGGAAGGATTATGACATTAACTAATTGCTCTTTAATCATTAAAGCTTCACATCGCTTTCTTTACCATCTATATCTATTCAATCTCTTAAAATGATTCTGAACGATAAAATAATACGAAAAGGAGAAATCTGTCGCTATTTAAGCAATTAGTTGTCTTTGTAATTGATGTTTCTGTCAACTATCAACTTCGTTGCTGAGCTTTATATTACTTTCGATGGTATATACTGCACAATAAAAATACCCAAAAACAAAAAGAAGAAGAAGACCATTACAGAGCATGTACACATGGTAACCTATGTATATACAGATAGTATAATACATATGTTCAGGCTATAACACAAGAAAATTTGCAAATTTACTAGTAGGAGGAATAACACAAGAAAATTTGCAAAATATAAGAAGTGTGTGATGAAAATAGAAACCAACTTTTCTTCAACAAGCACAAATTTCATGAGAGCAATCTTGGCCACAATCATTGATGGAGTCAGAGAATCCTTGGTTACTTGAGACTGCAATGATGATTACGTTGTCCTCTGGTTCAGCTTCTTCCGGTTCAATAAGATTCTCCCTGAGTTCACTCAAATCTTGGTTTGTCTTTGTCATGAAGCTATGTAAAATGGAAAAGCAAGTGCAACAAGAAAACACTAGATTGATTAAAAACAAGGATATGCAGAGGATCACGACGATACAAGTGTAAGTATCCATTCTTCTTGATGAGAACTTATCATGGTGGTTGGTTTACAAGAAAAAAAAAACACAGAATCTAATCAAATGGAGAAACCAAAACTATTCAATTTTGAGAAAATGGTGGTGGAAACATGTGTATATATTGATTGATTTTTTGGTCCCCTTCAGAGATATAAGAAGAAAGGTTAAAATCTGAAAACTTTTTGTGTGTTTACACATCTCTTTATAAGAAAACTTAAGGATAAAGAATACGATTATATAATATTTGGTATGCGGTGGAGAGATTTTTCAACGGATAAAGGTGGTAAGCATGGCAAAAGCATGTCTCTTTCCTAAGTTTCTCAAATAAATAAAAGAATGAGACCTATTAATCTTTTAAAAATTATTAATTCACTACACATTTTGAAATTCTAAAGAACTTTCAAAGAAACATGAGAGAGGGACATCAACTTATATTGTGTTTTCTGATAATGAATTGCGTTCTACGGTTGAAACGCATGGCATCACCTTCACATTTTCCATCATGGTTTGTTAATAAAAGATCAAAACCACATATCTCTATTTCAGTGACCGGTTCAGAGTTTGTAAAAAGATTTTCTGATGATTCAATATGTGGATAATGATCTGTAAACAACTATTTTAGCAAGGCTTTGAAGATTTCTTAATGTGATTTATACGTGAAGAGAAGCATTACTACAAATAAAACTTCATTTTAAAAGAGTAACTTTGTGGCAAATCTGAATTAGTAAAACTAGACTTGTTCTTCCACTTATCTAATTCAAAGATTAATTTGTCGCAATAACCACACAACTTTATCACTGACTACTTGCATTATCTAGAAAGGTTCAAAATGCTCCATTCTATTATATAAGTAGCATTCTGTACGGACAGCTAAGAATTCGAAAGCCATGAAAGAAACAAATATAGAATATGGAGAGCTTAGACATTAACTACATATTTGTTTGATCGTTGTCAACACTTCAACGCTTTGAACTTTCTCCTTTTGGTCTTTTGGATATCAAAAACTTTGCCCAATTCATACATCAAGAATTTCGAAAATACAGATTGAAAGACATTTATGCATCAAAAAATAGTTGACATTTGATCACGAAAGTCAAATATTAAAAAAAAACATGGCAAGCTTTAACCAAGAACGTGCAAATGACTTTCATGAAGTTAAAAAAGAGATTCAGATGAGTAAGACAGACTTCATATCCAAAAACGAAGAACCAGCAGCAGCTAAGAGGTGGGCAGTACTATTATTAGTCTTATATTCAAAATCCCAATTTGAGATAAAGAAAATAAACCAAAAGACAATTGCATAATGTTCTGAACTGGTCCAAAACATGAAAAGTTTCGGTTAAGAAGTTTCGTGACTTATAGGATTCATCTTTGTTACTTGGAAACGTCACTATGATTGATTCTTCAAATTCATCCATAAAGCATAAAGGTTAGATACTAAAACATAAATCATTTATAGAAGATGAGGAATGATATAACTTGGGCTAGTGCAATTTCGTTAAATACGGGTCCATGATAAGTTTCTGGGCCGGGTTGTATAGGTTTGTTTATTTACGAATGTTTAGTTTCTCTCAGGTGCCTTGCTCGAGGATCAAACACGTCTCAGCGTTTCACAGTCCACATATAAAGTCAGTGTAGTATTTATTACAGGATGATCCTTCGAGTCTTGTTTCTTACCGATTAAACCTTATTGTTTTTATAAAACATAATCACCCTTATCTTTGGTTCATCACAATGTTTCCTTGTTAAATTGTTTAGTTACATATAGTCTCTTAACTTTGTTCTATGATATTACTAATGCTCCCTTGATTTTTATTAATCACATTTGTCTGGGTAAGTTATGTGTATCTCCTCATTATGGAAGTAACCTATAGTTTAGTTTTATTACAAATGTCTCTTAAACTCTTGTTTTGTGTTACACGTGTACTGAAAAAAGAAACGAGAGAAAAGATCCAAAACGTTTTATTTTAACACACACAAAACCTATCCTAAAATCAACCACACAATCTCACACGTAAACAAGAATCTTATATTTTACTATAATAAGTCCGGTAACAAAGCAAGAAAGTTAGCTCTATACCCACCATGGAGCTAGCCGGTTTAAGCTTCCTTAAACTCTCTTTCCTCCTCAGCCTCCTCTCCAGCGGTTCAGACTTCCTAAACCCAATTTCCGAACCGGGTCTCGTCGGTAAGTTCCCGCCTTCCTGTAACAGAATCGAATGCCCAAATTACGATGTGGTTCACGCGGGAAACGGTTACGAGATTCGCCGGTACGATACAACGGTCTGGATTTCCACTCAACCGATTCAAGACATCTCTCTTGTCGATGCTACAAGAACAGCTTTCTTCCAGTAAGTACACAAACTCATGTCTTTTTAAATTTTTTATTTTTTTTATTCGGATAAAAATTGAATTTTTCTTTCAGCAAAAAAAAAAAAAGATTGAATCTTTCTTTTAGCAACAAAAAAAAGATTGAATTTTTCTTTTAGCAAATAATAAAAGAATGATTTTTTTTCTCAATGTGGGGACCAGGTTGTTTAACTACATACAAGGGAAGAACAAGTATCATCAGAAGATAGAGATGACAGCTCCAGTGATCAGTCAAGTCTCACCAAGCGACGGTCCATTCTGTGAATCATCCTTCACAGTATCCTTCTACGTTCCCAAAAAGAATCAGCCTGATCCAGCTCCAGCAGAGAATCTCCACATCCAGAAATGGACACCTAGGTACGTGGCAGTGAGACAGTTCAGTGGCTTCGTCTCTGATTCCACCGTCGGAGAAGAAGCTGCTGCGCTGTCTGCTAGTCTTGAAGGCACAGCTTGGGCTAATGCTATAGAGAAAAGCAAAGAAGAAGGTGGTGTTGGAGCTGATTCAGCTTACATTGTGGCTCAGTATAACTCACCGTTTGAGTTCACTGGTCGTGTTAATGAGATTTGGTTACCGTTTCAAATGGATGATTAAGTTGAAACTGTTTTTTTTTTTATATGTTGTAATAAATAAAAAATCAGACAAGAGGTTGATGATTTTCATTAAAAGACAAAATGTTTGGTTAGGGAACTCGAGTTAAGTATCCCTATTAAGACAGAATAATCCTCTTCTAGTTTCTTATTCTAACTACCAGTTTTGTTCATAACTGTAAGTTTGATCCTGACAGTGGTTGTTAGTCTCATAATCTACATACATACTCGGCTGGTAATAACCATGGGATGAGTCTTCCATCACCACCGTGTTGTTGTTGTGATTTGTTGCTTCTTCCTCCACGAAGTAGCGTGTTTCGGGTTTGGTGCCTGAGAACATTCTGCAGGCGACGGTGTTGTGTGGAGATGGCTCCACGTTGTTGTGGTATAAGTTGTTGAAGATGGAGAAAGGAGAGGAAGAGTCTAGGACGTGGCAACCGTCTGTGTAGTCTACAGTGCTGAATGAGTCTCTGGTTGATTCTGTGGTGAATGAAGCTTCGTCTGAGCTCGTGAAGAGAGACCATTCACTTGATGATGACTCTACGTTCTTGTTGTAGTCCGCTCTCGGTTTAAAGCGGTTAACTGGTTTCCTCTGTTCCTTCACCTCATTTCGTGGTTGCGAGTGATGAACCTGAGATTTCCCGTTGTGTTCTCCTCTTTGAGGACGCGGATACGACCTGCAAAGATAATATTTTCAGAGAATACACAAAGTTTTTTATCAGCGGTCTCTTGACACAATGGCCAATGGCCAGGATCTTTTCTAACTGAGCTAAAGCCTCTGGCTAAACCGGTAAGTTTATTACCTCATGTAGAACAACATGTAAGCTCCTTCTGACATAACTTGAGTCATTGGCACTTGATGAATCTGCAGAGTTTTAACAGAAAAGTTCAGAACCAGTTTGGTTTGCTGCAGTAAGAGGAGGATATGCAAATTAGTTTTTTTTACCTCGGAATCATCGATTCTGAACCAGTTGCCTCTCAAATCTTTGACATAGGAAATGTAATGACCAGAGAAAGATGCGTTGAGAGTGTCCAAGTGAACTATAACAGCGTAAAGCATATAAAGCGGAGGAACATCTCCAGTTCTTGTCATGAAAGGTATCATGTCCAGCATTTCGGGAAAACTTATACATTTGTTTATTTTTCCGTATCTTCCTTCCTGCATACAAGAATTGAAGAAAAAAAATGAAAAACAGAGTAACCAAAGAGTATAGTCAGTCCTGTCATCTTGAAGAAAATGAAGAACAAAGTAACCCAAGAACATAATCAGACTTGTGTCATCTTTAAATAACTAATACCTGGAATCTCTTGAGAACAATTGTTAGAATGTTTGGTGCTTCATGAATGCTCAGTTCTTTCCTGGCTCTTACATATCCAGCGCACCTGCATTTCACAAAATTACGATTTAGTTTCAATACCATAGAAGAAGAACAAGCATTGTGGTGTTTGAATCTAACCTGCTGCATCTATACATGTTTTCTCCATCGAGATCTTCTGGTCTAGTAAACTGAGTCAGTGCATCTTGAAGAGATTCTACCCATCCGTAGATCTCCAGTGTTAGGTCCATTATGTTCTCATATCTTTCTGATTCATGATCACACCTCAAGCATTTCACCTGGTTTCAACAGAAAGAGTGAGAGTGTGTAAAGTAATTTGGGAGACATGAGTTTCAAAAACCTTTGAGCGAAGACGTCCACCAAACATATGTTGAACTAAAGTTGTTTCTTGCAGCCTTGGATCCACTTTAGTCTCGCCTCCAAGTCTCTCTAAACATATGGACTGCATAGAGGCAACCAAAAGCCTACGTCCAAGTCAAAAAGATATGGTAAGTAAAATATAATCATATTAAGAACAAAAGGATCAACAAATTCAATTCTGAAAGGACTAGTAAGAAAAAACCTTAAGAACTCATGAGCATCTTCTTGACTCCCATCACCAATCTGACAATTTATACTTCGCATGTGTGAGAGAATTCTACTGGCAGAAAGTGGACCTCCTGATTCTCTAAGCATCATTACATGTTGCTCAAGTTCACACATAAGACACCAAGCTTTACCAGAACCTATTTTGAAAGAATAGAAATTATCCATGTAACTAAGTCTGTAAAAAATTAATGTTACAAAGACTAATAGGGAAAAGTAAAACCATTACATGATCTTGAATGTGATCTTCCAAGCAAGTAGGCAACGAGTGGTTTTGTACATGTTAAGGACTGCAAAACAGCATTTGCATAGCAACTGGGGAAGAAAAAGATAGCATAATAAGAAAGCTTTTACACAAAATGGATCTTCCTATTATAAAACCAATGCTCAAACCTGTTTCCACAATTTACAAGTCCCCTTGGTGATAAGTAAAACACTTCACACTGAAAGAACTTAACAAACTCCTCGTATGGGAAAAGCATCTGCAATTAAAAGATGATGACTCAGATAAATATTTGAATTAGCAAAGAGACAATTATGTCGAGAGGGAACTAACTTTCAGGTTCTTATGTCGATCGTCATGCTTTGTGGAATTTCTTAAACCCATCATTTTCATCAAATTCGAACCCATGGTTGAGGAGATGCCATTGCTTTCCTCGGCCATACCTGTATCCTTAGACCTTACAGTCTCTGGATATAGATATAAACATCAGACATTACTACAAAATAAATCTTATATGCCAAAGCCAAATCTCAGAGACACTCACTTGATACCGGAGCGACTTGTCCCTTCTTACTTGTCTCTGTGTATGATTGTTCTCCAGATTTGGGCAGTGTAGCTATTCTCATCCCTATTTATTTCAAACAACATTAGAAGATGCAAATGTCAACTTGAGTAACTTATTTTAGCTTCTGGAATTATGTCCTACCGTTACCACTTTCAAAAGTTTGTCCATTCATTTGCATACAAGCGTTATCAACAGAATGCCTTCTAGAATTTGTTTCCACAGCACCGATGTTGCTTCTCGACTGCAAGCAAGATCATTAGGTTAAATATCAAGCACACGGTCCATTTGTAAGCAAGAAAGTGTAACTGTTTTGGCTGGTTAATAACTGATTACGAACCAGCTTACCTTATGTCTAGTGTGACCCTTCTTGTTATCGCCACCAGCACAAGCAGCTTCACCACTAAATGATTCACGGTTAGACTTGGACGGATTTGGTTTCCCTACGCTTTTTCTCCCTTGCGTGTTGATTCGTGGTGTAATATCAATGTGAGAGATACCAGCGCTTGCAAATTCTACTTTAGACGTCTTTCCCTTGGCTGTCTGCTTAGAATTGTTACTATACATTGTAGGATCCATGCCGTTGTCATGCAAAACAGAATCATTCTCAAAGGAAGCCCTCTCTGATGAAGAAGAGCAAGAAGTCTCCACCGGGATACATTCATCTTTATGAGCTAACCTCCAGTGAATTATTTGGCACTTCCCGGAGCTGCAAACATCAAAAAATTAAGACTTTCAAGGGTTAAAATGTCTGCAACTTTATTAATAGCAGGTATATATCTCTTTAAGAGCTCTAAGAGACCCAACGAAAAGCCAAGAAACGTACCAGTATCTAATAGATTTGCATCTCGAGCAGCGTGTTTTAGCAGGGTTAAAACACCTCGCACATACATGTCCCTCATTAGTAACTGGGACCCCGCATGTAGCAGCCACAGAGTCAAGCCTCTGCTCAGCAATAGCCCCACTCACACCAGCCACAAACTCGGCTCTTACAAAACCACTAGCAGCAGGAACAGTCTTGGTCCTCGATCTCGGAGCCCTATTCTCAGTAGCCATAGTCTCAAATCTTACACCTCTACTCGCATCGACGTTGGTCTCAGCTCTAAAAGCTTCTTCAGCTGCCATCTGAGCCAGCAAGTTAGCCCTCCCTCTTTTTTCAGAAATATCACTCCATTTACCTAACAATATGTAAGCTACAACAGGAAGTACAACCAAAACCAGGAACAATAATGGTATGTCCGCTCCCCTTGGTTCGAGCATGTCACTAGCCACGCATTCATGACCCGGTTTACAGCTTCTGAGAGAGAGTCTCCTCAAACTACATGAGCTCAGGAAGCCACAAAACTCCAAAAATCACTCTTGTGAAGCTTTATTTGCTGGTACTTCAGGTTACTTAACTACTTCCCAATATGTGAATAACACTGCAATTAAGTACACCAACTGAAAATGAGTTCAGTACATAAAAAAAAAAATCATAGAACCATATTTAAACTGTTATAAAGTGACTAGATTCAACTGAATCTACTCTCTATTCACACAGATTCACAAGGTCAAACTCTCTATTCTTTCAAATCAAAGAAACCCCCAAAACATGATAAAGCATCTCACCCCAAGAACCCTTGTCTTCTAAATCCACCGATTCAAAGCAAAACTAGGTATCAAATGTAAGAAAATGAGCCATAAAGATCCTAAATTTCAGATACAAAAACAAAACACTCACGATCCAAGGAAACAACCCCCAAATCCGTACGGATTATTCGAGACGAATCTAGCTAGAAAAGTAATCTAAGGTTCTTGAAAGCCTCCATTGTACTCAAATCTAAGATAATCAGCACCCATGAACGCATTACGGTTAGCTCAGGGAAGAAGTTTTGACAAAAAAAGCTGAGAGAGAAATGGTCAAACATTAAAAGGAAAGAGTCAAGCTTTTTATGAGAATTTGGGGTAAATACCTATTTTATTTTAGCTTAAGATTGAATGGTAAAGAAAGAGAAACCCTAGTTTGTTTTCTCCCCTTATCTTCTCTCTGTCTTCTTTGTGAGCTCGAGAAAGAAAAAAAAAAGATGCTTTGATTCCTCGAATGGGTAAGACACAAAACAGTCTCTCTCTCTCTCTATCTATCTTTCTTTCTAAACACACTTTCTCTCTCCTCGTCCTGTGTAGTTTATGCTCTTCGCTTTCACACTCTTCGCATACTCTGTCTCCGTCCTTCAGGATACTGTTTAAAAACTAGTAATAAACCAAAGTAGACTAGTTAATATAGGGGTTGATTTTGTTAATTAACCCAAAATATAGGTAAGACAATTAATGTCGGAATATTTCTTTATGAATGTGAGGAATTGATGATAATTACAGAAAGCGATTTATTTATTTATTAGTATAGAATAGACTTTGATTGTCCTAAAATAAATGAATACTATGCGTTACGTTATTTTTTTTTTAAAGTATGAAAATGACTTGTTACAAGATCTAATACTATATCTGACGGTAATAATTTTACTTTTTTTACTTTAAATTGTACTATCAACAGAATAATCGTAAGCAGAGATAAATAAATATGTATAAACGTATTTCTTACTACAAAATTTCTTGAAATAGCTAAATTAGTGAAGCTGATCCACGAACGTGGCAACATCTCGTAATGGACATTCGTCACGTGGCGTTTAGCTATTTGTTCTAAACTTGTCAGTGAAACGGGTCCCACGTTTTGTACCATTCATCTCAAAAGGCGATATGAGTTTCACATCTCGAATCCTGACCGTTGAATATTCTACAAGACGACTTTCAATAAAAACTTAGGTGGGACCCGCGGTTTCTAGGGCTGTACTGTCACACCCTCTTTCAGTGAATATTGCACGAGTTTAACTACAATTATATCGTTATTTACAGAACCAGTCCTAAAACTATTCTCTAATCAAACTAAAGTCATTGGAAATTTATATTTATCAGTATTCGCTCTTTACTTAGTCGTTAGCACGGCCTAAGAGATAGTCAAGGTTTCTTATGTAATTTGATTCTTGTATTTAGGTTTATTTTTTAACGTTTGGATAATTATAATATTATACTGACTAAAAAAATTTTTATAGCCGATTGTACATACGATAATTTTACAATCTGATAAGAATATATATCTAGTTGCGCTATTTCCAACCGTCCTATAAGATCTATTATGTTCACATGCCATGTTGAAACTTTTTTGTAACTATTATTTACATATTTTCTATTTTTTAGGGTTTAAATTTCAGAATTTCTGATGAAGTAAAAAGTATTAATGAACCATCAGTTACAAAAAAAAAGTAAAAGTTTTAATAAACAATTAGTTAAATTATAAGAACTAGAGGATTTTCACGAAATACAAAGCTTATATAGTTAGCTCTCTTGCGACTGTAGTAACAAGGCTTAGCTAAAGATCACTATTCCCCGAGAGAGCTACCGATAAGCCCAACGCATGAAACCGTTATTGGGCTTTAACCAAGTAATCTCAGCCCAATAATAAATATAACCCAGATAACTCCAGCCCATGACCCAATATCCAGTGCCGGTACTTCAAAGCGATATAAATAACAGGCGAGAAAGAAACAAAACCTTAAAAAATCAAAACGAGAATTTTCCTTTTTTTTTTCCTTACGATTTTGTTCGGAGGAAGAAGGAGACGAGATGGGAGAACGAAAGGTGCTTAACAAGTACTACCCGCCGGACTTCGATCCGTCGAAGCTTCCACGGCTCAGGCGACCGAAGAACCAGCAGATCAAGGTTCGTATGATGCTTCCCATGAGTGTTCGTTGCAGCACCTGCGGAAACTATATCTACAAGGGAACCAAATTCAATTCGCGTAAAGAGGATGTCATTGGCGAGGTAATTTAATTGAATTTGATTTTTTTCGATTCAACCTAATTTACTTTCTTCCGATCGTATAGTGTTGATTCGGAAGCTTAGGAGTGTTAATTTGATTTTAATAGGATTCGAGTGGAAGTAATTAGGGATTATTGTCCAAAGATTTCAGATTTGGGGTTTTAGGGTTTAGTTAATTTGTGTCTCATGTTTTGTATATGAGAAAGGAGATGACTTTGAGTTTAACCTATTTTGAAGTGCTTGAATAGTTATCCTTCTGTGTTGTTTTGATGTGATGTTTTTTTTTCTAATCAGATAGTTTTTTGGTGTTGTTTTGATGTGTTGCAGACGTATCTAGGGATTCAAATCTTTAGATTCTACTTCAAATGCACCAAGTGTTCTGCGGAGCTGACTATGAAGACGGATCCACAGAACTCTGATTATATTGTGGAGTCTGGGGCTAGTCGTAATTATGAGCCCTGGCGTGCTGAAGACGAGGTAAAGGACTTTCAGAGACATGTTTAGCTTTTGAGGATTGTTGTTGAACTATAACTGATTGCTATGTTTTTTCTTGTCATACAGGAGGGTGATAAGGAACAACAGAAAAGAGAGGCCGAGGAGATGGGGGACGCTATGAAGTCTTTGGAGAATAGAACTTTGGATTCTAAACGAGAAATGGATATTATAGCCGCTCTTGATGAGATGAAATCAATGAAGGTATGTGACTGATGCCTTTTTTTGGATCTTCTCTTATTCTTCCTACTCTCTGTTTCATGCTGGACTAAGTCTGTTTTCTGTACTGATTTTTTTTCTTTGTTTTATTCGACTTTTGCAGTCTAGACATGCTACTGTGAGTGTGGATGCGATGCTGGCGGCCTTGCAAAGAACGGGCGCTGAGAAGGTCAAACGTATAGAAGAAGAAGATGAAGCAGTTATAAAGTCGATATTTGGTGTAAGTGTTCATATCCTTCTTTCGCAAACGTTGATTCTCCACTCCACATGACACTTAGTCTTGCTAAACTTATACAATATCTCTTGTTTCATATAACTGCAGAAACAGAAAGAAGTTGTTAAGAGAATTGCAGATGAAGATGATGATGAGGATGATGATGATGATGATTATCCCAGCCTTCGTAAGGAGACGAAAGAAGGATCATCTTCAGATCTCTCAAAGGTTTTTCCTTCTAAACATCATTTCTGACATGGCTCTGCCTATCATCTTGTCCCTCCATTGGAATCAGGACTAACTGTTAACTCTTTTTATTTTGATACAGAAGAGAAAGGCATCAGAAGAAAGTCCAAGCAACCCCACCGATGTATTGACCAGTTCCTCTGCAGGTGTGTTATCAATCTTTCTTTTCACGTTAACTGACTTTGATCTCCTGTTTTTTCAGTTTAATAGCCTTAACGTATATCTCTATTTCGATCAGATAATACGAAGGAACCCAAGAAACGAGCTACCAGCAAGCAACCCTTCAAATCCGTTCACATAACAGTCATTAAGAAGCAATCTCAACCAACTTCGTCTACGACTTCAGCTCCAACAAAACTAAAACCAGAGGAGAAGAAGACTGACGCTGTGGTCAACGCCGGATTAGCATCTTTATTCCAGAGTTATGGCAGTGATGAAGACGAGGATTGATTTTTGTTCTTTCGTTATCAACAGGTTTCGCACTTGAACAGATCTTTAGAATTGAAGTCATCTTGTATGAATGAGATATTTCAGAAAACATTAGTTGATATTAAAATGCATATTTCCAAAAATTTGGTAAAATTGTTTTGCAGACAATAGCCAGAGAATGCTAATGATTTGGATGATGGTTAGCTTCTGATGAAGCCGACCAACTTACAAAAGTCTCCACATAAATACAGCAAAAAACAGAAATGGTGAGCAAACCTTTTCTTGAATCACATTGACACCAACTGCAACTCACTTCTGTCCTCTCTTCTTCCACAACTCACCAAACATCTTCATCCCAGAACTCTTCCTCTTACCACTTCCCGATCCGTCATCAGAATCATCAGCCATTCCCGGCGGTTCAATGAACCCAACCACTGCATTCGGGTCAAACAACCCTCCTGCAAAACACTTATCTGCTGACCCACATCGATCCCTCTCAGACTCTCCAGACAGAACCGCAGCTGCAGCATCCGCCGCCTTCCTCCACTGCTCGGTTTGAACTCTAAGCTTCTTCATCTCAGCCTCTAGAGCATCTTTTGCTTCTTCCACGGTCTCAAGCTTCTCCTTCAGGTGAGCTGTCTTTGCTCTGCTTTCTTCCAACTCTTCTCCAATCCGACTCACCTTTGAAGCCATCTCGTCTTCATTAGCTTTCACGTTAGACATCTCTAACGCCGAATCGCTCAGCTGACTCTTCAAGTTCTCGTTTTCTCTGCCTAGTGATTCATGTTCTTTCTCCATGTCATACAGTCTAGCTTTCAACATCTTGATCTCATCTTCCTTTGCAACCAAGCTCTGATCCTCTTCTTCTTTTACTACCGCAATCTTCTCAACAGGAACCTCAAACACATCAGTCTCTTTCTGGCCATCTCCGGGGACCTCGTCTCTATCAATCGTATCAGCCTCAGAAGCAGCTCCCTCCACTCGATCCTGAGGGTTTGGCTTCTTGGATTTGACATCATCTTGAGCTTGTTTCTTGACAGCTTCAGCATTAGCCAATTGCTCTTTGAGCAATCTCAGTTCCTCTTGTGCTTGTCCTAACTGCGACTCAAGATCTGATATTCGCCCCCCAAGTTTCTTCTGACCAGGAGGATCACTGCGAGGCCCACCGCTTCTAGGAGATCTACGGTCAACACCAAGCTTAGAAGTAGAACTCCGGTCAGTATTGATCAGACGCTTGGGGTGACTCAAGTCAGAAGTAGATGACAATGTCCTCAACTTCGGAGCTTGTCTCTGAGACAACTCTGAAACTCTAAAGAAGACAAACACCATAACAACCTTCATCATTACTCATATAATCATACATATAGAGGTTGATGTCAAATGATGTAGTAAAAAGAATTACCTTGGTCTTGGCATTTTGGTTCTTTTCTGCAGAGGATTTTAGCTAAGAGAGAAGCTAAAGCTGCTGGAAGCTCGAATGTTATGAAGTTGTTATGAAAATCTGAAGAATATATAAATGCAGTATGTCATTTATTACAGCAACTACCAAAGCCATGTAGATAAGGTAATAATCATTCTACAAGATATTTGAAAAGAGTTTTTTTTTTTTTCACTATATTCGCAAGGATCCAACAAAATAGGGATTGAAAACTTACCTTAAAGAAGATGAGGTCGTTGCATTTGAAATTCAGGAGGTGGCTAAGAGAAAATGTAGAAATAGTCAAAAGAGTGTGAATTAAAACTGAAAAAGAAAGAAAAGTGTTTGTCGTTACATAAAACCAGAAGAAGACCCAAGATGAAGAGAACAGAGGAGAGAGAGTGAGTTGTATTTGTAACGCATGCACCTTTTCAAAACAGACAGCTTTATTTGAAGCCACTCCCAAGACTCCTAGAGAGATAGAGAGTTAGAGAGAGAGAGAGAGTTGAGTGTTTTGAAGATTTGAAATAAAGCTGTTGACGAAATTGGGTGTAGTGAGGTTTTAAAATCGAGGGACCAATTGGGTTAACAAGGACAAAAATGTAATACATAATCATTGTATATGTCAGCTCTTTTTGGGGTTCAAATAATTTCTTTACTGGATTTTAAAATGTAAAAAAAAAAACACGAGTGAAATATCCCTATACTAAAGTCTGACAATGGTTAGAAAATGAGTATGTAATTATGAAGTTTGAGGACTGAATCTAGCATATTTGATTTTATTTAAATGCATATATGATATATGTAGAAAAATGCATATAGATGTGGATTTATGTTTTTTTTGTCAAAGATGTGGATTTCTGTAGAAAATGTTTATAATAAATATAGCGGACACATGTATTTACCTACATAATCAATATTTCTGACACTCTTGTTTCTTTTTTTTTGTCGGTTTTCAACAAAGTTCAGTTTACAAACTCTATTTATTACTCTCCACTAATTTCGACGTTTCTTTTTGTGATCTCCATTCTCCAACACGTCGAGAAGCCAATTTGATGTTTATTAGAAATTGCTAACCTACAAATATTATATTCTTTTTTGGTGAGCCTTGAATAAACATTAGTACATTACATATATTGATGGCAATTGGCATGGATGTCCATATCAATAAACAATACTAGTAGCTAGATCTTTTTATTTGGTATTATCACTAACTAATTAGGATTTCATTTTTTAGGGCAATAGTTAGTGGTTGTCGGCTGGTTGGCTCTATCCTTTGTTTAAATTATGCTTAATTAGAAGATTCACCTCAAGAAAATCCAGTTTCACGTGTTTGAAATTGGCGACAAATTAGTACAATAACTGCATAAGTTCTTAAAAATTGAAGCTACGAAATGCCAAAATGTATTGTTTCTGTTTTAGAGATGATAACGATAAATTAAGATACACCCTCTGTTTTATAAAGTTACATGTTTTAGAAGAAAAAAATATTTCAAAAATATATATTTTGTATTTTCGATATATGTTTTATCAATTAATAATGATTAATCACAAATTTTAAAAACTTGAAATACATCTATCCAATTATTATTAGTTTATAATTATGAAAAAGAAAGATAATAACAAAAAAAATATACATTTATATATTAAATATTTAAATTTGATATATTTTTAAAATAGAATTGAAACTCTAAAATATGCATTATTTTGAAACTAGTAAAGCTTACCAAAGATTAACATTATGTCTTTTTCTATTTGATCTCCTTGTAAACATTGACAAATTTGTCTAGTTAATGAACGGATGAAGTTCATAAAGGTATTTAAATTCAAAACTGATAATCTTCCCGTTTGGGACATAACCCACGACAGGTATCACACTAACATAGGTTGAGCAATGTTAGAAATGTAACTATAACCGAACACTAGCTAATACTCACATTTACACTCAGATTTATTCGTTGTAAGAAATTAAATGCAACGGTCTCAAAAGAGCAAAGACGTGTGTACTTAATATATACAAGAATCAAAAGACAAAGGCATGTGAGGAGGAACACACTAAGTTAAACCCTAAAACCCCTCAATGATGGGTTGATGACCACCACTACACTTGAATGTTTATGTTCTCTTCGCATTTAATACAAGAGAGACCAAACCATGTGCATCTTCCTTTTTTCATCAACTACTAACTATAACTATTCCTTTACTCGGTCCCTTAGCATCCTCCTCCCACTATTCTCCTATGCACCACAAGCCATAACTATATCAGAGCTCTTATTGATAATTAAACTAACCGTTTATATTTAAAAACTGAACACCATTTTATATTATCCTATTGGTACATGTATGAAGTGATCAACAAACATTCTGAAAACTAGTAAGCAATACAAGATCACCAAAACTCACACTAGCATATACAAGCAAAGACTATGAACAACTTTAGCTTTCCTTTTGAGCCTTTGGGAAACACTATTACCATGTAACTTCCCTGGAAACCTCTCTGCCACTAACGTCAGTCAAATCAGATCTCGTTGTATCATCGCTGATACCTGCTTCTTGACGGTAATGGTTACTATCTTGTTCCATGTCACTGTAATGACTGCTGTTGCAAATGCCTGGACCTATGTTGTATGATAAAGTGTTAACGGAGGAAGATTCGCCAACCATTTGCTGGCGTTCAGCAAGAACAGCGATTGCACAAGCTAGTCCACCAGATGGAGAAGATGATGTTGAAGACGCCATCAATGTTCTTACGTTATTATGATCTTCTGAATTTTCATCAGAAGACGAGTTTATCTGATTTCCAGGTTCCTGCTCAGAACGAAACAGAGTTAAAGGCTTTTCAGATACTTGAAAGTTTAGTAACTGAACAAATCACCTGAACGGAAAGCCATATTGCTTCCATCACCATTATATCCTCAAGATCATAGTCAAACTCACCATCCCTGAAGAATATTTTCAGATAATCAGCCACCTGTTATAACTTTAGCTAGAGAGAAAATGATATGAACATGTAATAACCAACTGATAAAAAGACAACTTAACAAAAACACCATACAGTCCTCTCTTCATCATTACATGTAACTGTCCCCAGAGTATTAAAACCCTTTACGAGAAGCAGAACTAAAAAAAAGATACAGAACTATGTTTGTTATATCTGACAAACCTGCTAACACGAGGGTGTGATGTAACACATGAGTCTTGAGATGAAACAGTTTCCTCGTCCTCCTCTGCTTGAAAAAATTATGTGACTGATATTGCTAACCAATAAAAACTGAAATTTTGAAAGATTAACTACTAACCTGCAGCTGAACCATACTCAGTATCAGCTGTCACTGCACTTGTCCTAGAAGAAGATGATTCCAGACGTTTCTGCATTCTTTCTTCATCTTCTTCAACTTCCTTCTGCCTAATCCTTATTTTAGCTTCTATAACTCGCTGCTCTTCCTTCACAACATAGTGAAAATAAGATGGGCATAAACAGCTAGTTACTGTTAATTATATGACTTACAATTTTCTCAATATTCTTCTCCTCTTTAGTCTTCCCTCCACGATACTCAACAGCATAGTTTGATGTTTTGCAATACGGGCATCTCATATTTGTTAAGGAAGACACAATAAGAAAATTTATACGGAAAAATGTTCAAATGTGAAGATCAAAGGCTTGATGGCTAATATAACAATCAAAGGATACTGAGTAGGTTGGGATGAACTAGGATTCTTCATCCGCAGAAAACACTCTGTAGATTAAACCAAAAGATACAAAAAACATCAATGCAAAAGATACTAAATTTAGTTATGGTTGATGAATAATTCTTTACCTGTACAAATGCTTTTCATACAACATCTTGACCTATTGAGACTCGGATAGTACTAGAAACACACACAACCAACAACAACATATATCCACATTCAGTTTCATCTTCTTGAAAGGAAAGTACATTCTGTGTAAGTAAGCAACCACTAAAGTACAAACCAGATAGCAAATAGGACAATCTTCAAGATCATGAGAAGAGCTTTCTTCAGCGCCGGGGTAACAAGGAGCAAGCTTAGACTCTAAGATGAGTTTCTTAAGCTTTTTGAAGTCTACATCTTTGTTCATGTATAATAAACCTTGTTGTGGCTTTGTGTACCTTTCGTCCACAACTTGCCTCTTCTTCCCAAACTTATTACCCATCAAAACTGTCTATGCTTCAAATTAATAGCAAGAGACAGAGAAACATAAGAAACACAATCCACAATAAGAAACCAATAAAACTTAGTAAAATTCAGAGCTCTTAGCAATCCAAAAATGATTCCTTTTTTAATGAAACTAACAAACTAAAAACCTTAATTTCCAACCAGTCATAAGAACTGAAACTATAATTCCAGTGAAGGCTTACAGAGCAAAGTTCAAAACTTTGAAGACAATGGGAAAAGAAACATCAACAAGCTTCGTTAAAGAGACAAAGATCACAACTTTTCGTCTGAGAGCGAGACAGTAGAGTGTGTCTAAACATATATAAATGAGTACATTCACAACAGTAAAACAGAACTTCGTTATCGTGACTCACTGTTGTCTGTTTGATTACCTTTCTCCGATTCTTTTAGACGGAAAGTTAAAGAGAGAAGATGATGATAAAGATGAAACGGTGGAAGAGTGAAGAAAAGAATCGTCATCTCTCTTTGTTTTCACTCTTCCTTCCATCACGCGCCTTCTTCGCGCGTAAGTTTTCACAATAACTAATTTTTGAAAGAAAAAAAAACTCAGAACATTTTTTCCTTATATACATAAGCATACAGTAGTACTAAGCAAAAAGGATCACTCGGTGTTTTACATAGGCCTCTTAATTTATCAAATTGGGCTTTGATATAGGCCCAATGGGCCTTAATTTTCGGACCATAGATTATACAATTCGCCGACCGGAGGCATCATCTCCCTGAAAAAGCTATCGAACTCCGTCGTCTCTACACCTCCTTCTGCTTCTCTTCCTCCTCCGGAAACTTGTGGTGATGAGTCTTTGCTACCGTAGCTTTGGCCGGAGAATTCGAAAGGACCGTCAGCGACGATGGCGTTCTTACCGGTGAGTTCTTGAACAACAGTCTTGAAGCTCCGAGCATCTGTCTGGACGTACTGTGTGTTGATGAAGACAACCTTCATCGGCTCAGATCTCCCTCTTGACATGTTTTTGATGGTTAGTTTCGTTTTGTTTTGGTTTTGTTCTCTGAGAGTACTTTGCCTTTTGAATCTCAAGATGTGTTCTATTTATATGTGTAGACAAATATATGAAATATATATATATACATATGTTAGTTTAGTTGACAGAATAAAATATGTTTGGGTTTTTGATTTTATCTTCAGGAACATTTATTGTTGTGATACCTTTATGGACTATATGGATAATGGCAATTTATTATTGCTATAGCATGGAATTTTAAAACTATATAAAAGCAATTATTATGTAACCCGAATGATAGTTTGATTCTGGAACATGCTTACGTATGGAGTTACGTTCATGACTAACGAGTTTAAAATTTTAATATAAGGTCTGGTGCAGATTTTCCACTTACTAAAGAGGTTAGACTCAGTTAACTAAAGTTGCATTAAAAAGGGTTTTATTTAGAGTTTGGTAACAACGGGTCAAATGAAATTGGAGACTGTTACTTTATTTTAAGAATGTTGGTGCTCATGAAAGGTTTATTTTGCTATCTTTCACCAATAGTTTCATAGACAGATTTTTATCAAACAAATTTGATAGATGTTTACAACATTTAAGATTAGCAACAACAACAAAAGTTTTTATGGTCTTTTGACAATAACAAAAGAAGAAAACAAGAATTATATATGGTCAATTAAGGTGTTATTTTATAGATCCGGTCTTTGACGTGATTCCTTGTATGGGTGAGAACAGGTTTGACCGTCAAGAATTCAAGCAGCCTTGACTGACCAAATAATAAATAGCCTTTTTGGTATTATTATCAGGAAATTATTGATCTAGAAAGAATCCTATTATATAATTTACTGGGTCAAACTAAGCACGCCTTGTTTGATGAAATATGGAATCACATCACATCACGTGAAACCAACCTAGAAACCCTCATTCTTTTGAAGGTTTATAGTTTATACTAGAACTTATTATCCAGTATTCTGATTTGATCCGACTTCCGATTTGGATCCGCTCAAAAAATTCAAATATTCAGAAGGTTTAGATTTGAATCCATATAGTAAAATGTTGGAATTTTCAAAATTGAATCCAAATCCGAATATCTTGATTTTTCCGTTTGGTTAATTTATAATTTTTATAGATAAATATTTTTAAAATAATTATATATATATATTGTAGTAGTATACATAAAAATAATCAAACATTATATAATTATTGTTACTATTTTACATATTTTAATATTATCTTTATTTATTATAAAGATCTAAATCTATATCTGAATATTTGTCGATTGCTACAATTTTTTTAAACAGATATCCAAGGATCCGAATATTCGATCCCTCCTAGCCCTAGTTTATATCGGTCATTATAGTGTTCACAAAAAATAAGAAAATCGTTTGTTAATAATATCATACTAGGTGTTGTGCCCGCATATGCGGGCATAATTTTCTTACGAATATTTATTATTTTTTGTTTTATTAATACTAAAATAATATTATAAGTTATTTTCTATAGTTTTTAAAAACCTAAATCAAACATTAAAATATTTTTTAATGATTTTTCATCAAAATCTATATGCTTATTATAGTGTTGAAAAACATCCACATGATAAAATATTTTTGAAAATATATATATATATTTTCTTAATATTTAATTTTAAATTGTTTTATAACTTACATTTTTATTTTTCACAATAAAAAAGATTATTTTCAGATAATTGTATAATATTCTATAAGATATCTTATGTTTAAAATATGTATGAATGTGGATAATTATCCTATTAATTTATAATAAATTAACTAATATAATAACATATAAATTTATATCACTAACATAAAATTTTGTTTTAACTAATTTATATATAAATATATAAATTTCATTAAAGGTATCATTAACTTGAACATTTAATTATATAATTAAAAGTATCTTTATACAAAATGTTTTTGTTTGATTAATATTTAATTAAAATTCATTTTATATTTTAATTTTTAAATTTTATAATATAATGATATTATTTTTAAAAGCGAAAATCAATTTTATATAAAGTTAAGATCTATAAGCATTATCATGTTGTTACAATATTATATTCAGATAATAATAACATATATAAGAACTATCTTATTTTTGTTTTTTTTTATAAACTTATTATATTAATTATTTTTTATTATCTAAGATAACTAGGTGTTTTGCTCGCACATGCGGGCTTAATTATTTTTAAATCAATTTATAAAAATCAAAATAAATGATTATTTGCATCCAAAAAATTCGGCCTAAAACATTAAACTTTTTTACATGATAAAGTTATTCACAATTAAAAAAAATATTTTTTCCTTTAAAACTTTGAAAAATCTAAAGTCTATTTCATTTCTTCTTAATTGATACAAATATAGAAATCTATCTTTCAATTCGAAAAATTGAATCGATAAATATACATTCAATAATTGATCTTAGAGAAAGAATTATATTAGTTTGGGTAATAATACAATATATATGAAATTATTTTTGTCAAACACGTATTTTTTTTTGAATAATATTTTATGTTATATGATTAATTCATGTTTAAAGTTTAACTATATAAAACATAAATATAAATATAAATTTCATTTAATGTGTGAGTTTAGAGGCGAAAAATAACTTCACAAATATATATATATATATCATTATGTTATATTATTATATTTTTAAGTTTAAAAATAGTTACGTATTATATTTTTTTTCAATTTTCTCTATTGAATTATATACAATTAAAATTTTTACTTTATGAATATTTGTTTATGTGTTTTCTGTTTTTCAATTTTTTTTATTAAAATATATTTTTCGGATAAAAACACAATATATTTAGAGGAATTATCTTTTTATAATATATATTTAGATTATGGATAATTATTATCATTATTATTAATTTAAATGATTTATCTAATTAAATAAGTATTAAATTCGTTTTTATGTTTGGCTGATTTATATATTTTATTCATTAAATGTATAAATGATAGGAATTATCTTTTTATAATATATATTTAGATTATGGATAATTATTATCATTATTATTAATTTAAATGATTTATCTAATTAAATAAGTATTAAATTTGTTTTTATTTTTGGCTGATTTATATATTTTATTCATTAAGGGTATAAATGATATTAACCACTTCAACTTTTAATGTGGGAGCTCCATTGCGAAAAATCACTTCGCAAATAATAGTATATATCTAATTAAATAAGTATTAAATTCGTTTTTATTTTTGGCTGATTTATATATTTTATTCATTAAGGGTATAAATGATATTAACCACTTCAACTTTTGATGTGGGAGCTCCATTGCGAAAAATCACTTCGCAAATAATAGTATAAATAACATACTGTACTTATCTAATTTTATTTTTGAAATTTCATTTTAATTATAAAATTAGTTACATATAAAAATTTCATTAAGGGTAAAATAAATATTAACCGCTCTAACTTTTAACGTGAGAACTCCGTTGCGAAAAATCACTTCGCAAATAATAGTATACTAGGTGTTTTACCCGCACTTGCGGGCATAACTCTTTTACGAATATTTATTAGTTGATGTTTCATTAATTTATTACTTATGTTTTCAAAAATTACTAATCAAACATCAAATAATTATAAATGACAAAACTCAAACATCAGAAATATTTAAAAGAATATATTTCTATAATTATTTTGCTTGATTTATATTTAATTATAATATTTATACAATTTTTTACTTAATTCATATTTAAATATAATTTTTCTATCTTAATTTTAAATTTTATAAAAGAAAAAAAATTCAAAATAGCATATAATGCATAAGCTATTTATTTTCTAAAAATATAATATGATAAATTCGTTTTAATTATATAAGATTATAGAAATGATGACAAATAATTAAAATTATTTAAAATCATGGAGAACTTAATAAATCAGCATATTCACTTATTAAATAATTTTGTTTGAGTGATGATTTATATTTAAATTATAATAGATAATTTTCTATTTTAATTTTAAATTATATAATATAAAAATATATTTTCAAGATGACAACATAATACATAAGAATTACCTTATTTTCTAAAATTATAATATTATTAGTGTAAATTTATTTTAACAATAGAACAATTACAAATTTTTATATCTTAATTTTAAATTTCTAGTAGAAAAATATATTTTCAAGATAACAACATATTACATAAGAAGTATCTTATTTTAGAAAATATAAAATTATAATTTGTTTTAGTTATATAATAAATATAATAACTTTTATATCTTAATTTAAATTTTAAGTTTTATATATAAAAATATAGTTCAAGAAACAACATAATTCACAAAAATTATCTTCTTCTCTAAAAATATGCTATATTCATATAAATTCGTTTTTATTAAATAATAAATTTTATATGAAATTATTTAAATAAGGTAAATAATCAAATTTACCTAAAATTAAGGAGAAGTTGACAACTAAGCAAAATTACTTTTTAAAAATTTGTTTTTGTTATATAATAAATATAATAATTTTATATCTTAATTTTAATTTTAAGTTTTATATATAAAAATATAGTTCAAGATAACAACATAATTCACAAGAATTATCTTCTTTTCTAAAATATGCTATATTCATATAAATTCGTTTTTATTAAATAATAAATTATATATGAAATTATTTAAATAAGGTAAATAATCAAATTTACCTAAAATTAAGGAGAAGTTGACAACTAAGCAAAATTACTTCTTAAATAATGTTATAGATATTTTCTTTATTTTTTTCAACAATATTTTTTCTATGTTTAACGTAAGAAAATCAATAATCCATGGACTAATATCACTCAACAACAAATCGGAACACTTGCAATTATTCTACGTAGATCATTTCAACATCTCTCACGTCAACCTTACGGCTCCTGGAGACAGCCCCAAACACTGATGGAATCATGATTGGTATGTCTAGTAACGTTAAGATTCTTGTACGAGAATATCAAGATTGTTGATGTCCGACATCCTATCAACATTGATCAGAAGTATTGTCCTTACCCACCGTACCCGAAATTAGTAAGCTTCTTACGCAAGATTATATGATTTTGTAGGAAGACTCTCTTCTGTTCAGATAAGAACTGAACGTGACGTTAAAGAATATTTGGGGAACGTCGAGGAACAAAGTGGCTGTAAGTTTGCAATATAGTAAAAGCTTTCCACGCAAAGATATTCAGCTGACTGACATCAACTTCATACATAATGGATCTGATGGTCCAGCCACCGTCTTGTGTGAGTACGTTAATGGTTCTGCTCGTGGCAAGATGTTTCCTCCGAGTTGTTTAAAGTTATCCTGTCGATAGTTGACTTTGGTATATTTTCATTACTGGTGTAAATGTGATTATATCATAGAAATCAGTTCCAAAGAGAAATTGGATTAGCTTAATCCTATGACACTTTTAATTCTTTTCATTGGTGATATCTCTTAGTAATAACATTCTGTTGGATCGGTTTGACTCTTTGAAAATGATGAAATTAGCCAACTCACAACACGAGACAAGTTAAAAAGGACTTCATGCTCAAAGAAGCAGAAACAGGGATTACATTATTCACAATCATTTCTTTGATGTAGCTAATGTAACCACTTACCTCTTCTCTCGTGATCTGAATAGCTTTTATTCGCAAGAAGACTGAGTTGAAAGAGTATCAGTTTTAAGTACTAGACCGAAGGAGCTTCAAGACGGATGTTCGATCAGGCATGCTGGGTATTGCACCCTTTACTTGGACACATAGAGAAGCAGCTGCAGCTGTATGCACCATAAAAACAGAAGAAACATTAAACCAAAACTACAAAACTGATGAATTATGGGTTAAAAAATTAGATTTCTTAAGAGTTCATAACAAAATTTACCAGCAAATCTCAGACATTCCTCATGTGACTTTCCCTCTACCATAGCCACTGCAAATGCTGCTGTGAAAGTATCCCCAGCTCCTGTAGTATCCACCACTTGTGCAGCTGGTATAATTGACTGCTGAATCGGTTTTTCCCCTTCTATAAATAACGCAGACCCTTTGGAACCAAGTTTCACTAAGACTTTATTAACTCCCTGAAAAAAAACATAGCTTAAACCTTATCAACCCATTAAACCGTTTTTTTTTTTCACAGAGCCCAATTGCCAAAAAAGGATTATTAATCAAAGGGACTTATATACCATCTTATGACACTTTGCTACAGCTTGCTTAATCTCTTCAAAAGTTTCAGTAGGCATTCCAGTCAATCGACTAAGCTCAGTCTCATTCGGGCTCAAGATGTCTATGGAATCAAATAGCTCATCCGGAATCGGCGTATCCATTCCTCCCACGTCGAGGATTACCGGTACACCTCCTTTCTTCACAGCCTGCAAATCATCCCACCACCACCAATCTAAGTTTCCACTCAAACATATGATCAAATCCATATTCCAATTCCATTATCTAAACCTCAAAGCAGCATCCTTTCAACAGAACTTGCCAAGACTATTAGACCATCTCCAATGAAGGGTTCTTACGGCGGGGTTCTTAGGGAAATATAAAAACTTGTTTATCATTTAAGAACTGGTTCTTAAAGTCCTTATTTAAGAACCGGTTCTTAGTGTTTTTAGTTAAAAGTTAAGAAACAGTTTCTTAGATTCCGCTAAGAAACCTGACTTAAGAACCCGGAGTTAATCATGCTTATATTCCAACCCCCTATTGGAAGTAACTCTCACTAAAGTATCTAACTTTAAGTGCCATCAAGATCATCAGAATCAAACAAAAGCCACAAACTTTACACTCACCTTAGCAACTTGAACATTGATGTAATCAGGAATCTCTCTTTGCAACAACACAACACCAGCACTCCTCACAACCTCAAGCTCATCATCCCCCATCCCCTCAGACCACCCTCTCATATTAGCACCACCAACGATAATAATAGAGTTCTGACCATCCCCTTGCAACATCACAACCGCGTGCCCCGTCGGCTCATCCTTCACCCACTTCACGTGATCCAAGCGGACCCCACACCCTCCTGATCCATCACCACCCCCTAACGCGCCAGCGACCAGCTTCCCGTGCGCGTCGTCTCCCAGACGACCTACGAAGTAAGTCGGGTAATCAAGCTTCGCGCCACACGCGGCCTGGTTCGCGCCTTTTCCTCCGGCTAGGGTTTGACCTGTTTTGGCAGAGATCGTTTCGCCTTCTTTGGGTAGTCTTTCGATCTCAACGTAGATGTCTGCGTTCGCGGATCCAACGACTACTAGAGGAGGCGCGTGGGGGGTTGCGGTGGGTTTAGGGTTTGATGATGTGTCGATGGAGAGAGAGAGGACACGGAGGGATCTTCGCCGAAGAGGGAGGATTGGATTGGAAGTGTTGGTCGGAAGAGGCTTTGTTCGATTGAATTTGATGATGTTTGGCTGGAAAGTGTTCGATTGAGAAAGTGAAATTCCTTTCATCATCGTTGTTCGCCGGAGTCAACGCAGCAACTTTTGTACTTGGAAGATGACTTTTTGTTTTTGTTTTTGTGTTCTGTCCGAACTCCGAAGTATTGAACTAAAGATTGTTACGTGAAAGTCACGCTCCAGAATTAGTAAACCGTACCAATATAAACCAGTTTTTGATTTTTGATTTTTTTTTTTACCCGTGATTAATTCGAAGTAACCACCATCAATGCGATGACGCACGCAGTGGCCTAAGCAAACGCAATTGTCGGAAAGTTCATCATTAAGTACTATGAAGTAACTAAATTATTTGAGCATAACAAATCACTAGATCTCGACCCGCGCAACCGCGCGGATATTTGTTTTCATTTATTTTTATAGAAATCTTTTCTTTTTATTTCTAAATTGGTATATAGTATATAAGGTGTGTATATCGAAAATGATATATTATATAAGGTATGTATATCGAAAATGATGATTAATTATTATATAGTATAGATTAGTTATTGTTAGAAAATGATATTTTTCTCATTTTTAAAATAAACTATATAATTTTTAAAGTTAACATCGAAAATATATAACTAATTAACTTATACTATTACAACATTAAATTATATAAGCTTAATTTAAACATGTATTTTATTATACTATCTATAAATTTAATGGATTATCTAATTTTTATTAGCCCAATAAAAATTTATAGTAAGCCCAATAAATGTTATTAGTGAATCTAATGAATGTTATTAATGATTAAATATATAATGTGACCAACTCTAGTAGATAGTCCATTTTATTAAAAATCACACATGAATGAGAAGTCATGACTTCTCTTTTAATATAATAGATGTGCTAAACTAGATCAGCCTTTTGATGCAAAAAAAAAAAAACAAATCATGTGCTGAACTTTTAAAATTCGCAAAAATTTTGGACATAAATATGAAGTAACTAAATTATTCGAGCATATAATTGTTTTGTTGTGCTAATTTAGTTGCGTAATACATGATCAATTTTTTTCCCAACATGTGCCAATTTGTTATCCTAAAATAATTTAGTTACTTCATATTTATGATCACTGTTTTAGAATTTAACAAAAAAACAATTCTGAATAAATTAAAAAACAATTCTGAAATAATAACACTACTAAATTATGTGATACAAGTATAATACACCGCGCCAAACCGCCAAACGGAAAAGCAAGATTAAATAATAATCTTGAGTCTCTTGACTATGATTAAAAAGAAAGATAATAAAATTTTAATAAGATAATAAAAGCTAGAATGGTTGAATCAAAATTGTTCTCAATAATACAATCTTATATATTAAAACAGAAGTCACAACCTTAATTCATGTGTGATATTTTTAAAAATGGACTATCCTTAGAAAATTTATTAGATTTTCTATAACATTATTATATATATTTATTTTTATTTGAAATACAAAAAAAAATTATAAAAATTCTAACAATATCTTTGTAAGATCTTTAAGATCTTTTTCAAATATATTTTCGAATTAGTTAATTAAATTTTTAATAATAAGAAAATATAATTAAAACAATTATTCATTTTTTTATAACACAGATTAAAAATATATAATTTTATTAACATTATTCTAATAATTTGCTTTTTTATAATGTTGGTCCAACTTAATTTCACTTTCTCATATATTTTAAATTAGAAATAAAATAATTATTACTGTTACATAATAATGTTTTTAAAAATAAAAATTTTAAATTTTAAAATAATAATATTATAAGCCACACAAATATTATTATAAATTTAGATAATATATATCATCAAATTATATTAATATACTGATAATTTTTATTGTATAACATAAAATATTTTAGTATTCAAAAAACCCGCACGGTTGTGCGGATCAAAATCTAGTTTATTATTATTTTAAGGGTAAGCAAAATGCGATTCAAAACTCCTATAAATTATCGTTTATAGTTAGTTCTCTTCAATACAGTCACCAAAACACAACTATTAGCTAAAACTGCTCAAGAGAAAGAAAAAAAAACAAGTTCTTAGTGAGTTTAATCAGAGAGTATTAATGGCAGACGAGGTGATTCTTCTGAGCGTTTGGGCGAGTATGTTTGGGATGAGGACGAGGATTGCCTTGGATGAGAAAAAAGTCAAGTACGAATATAGAGAACAAGATTTATGGAACAAGAGCTCCTTGCTCCTCGAGATGAACCCGATTCATAAGAAAATCCCGGTTCTCATTCACAATGGTAAACCGGTCTGTGAATCTCTCATCCAGGTCGAGTACATCGACGAGACTTGGCCCGGTGAAAACCAACTCCTTCCTTCTGATCCTTACCAAAGAGCTCAAGCCAAGTTTTGGGCAGATTTCATCGACAAAAAGGTATTTTCAGTTTCTAAATATATCTTAACGTTTTATTTATTTTAGATTGGTTTGATTTTTTTTTTCTCCACCATATATTGCAACTTTTAAACCAAAATGGATTATATATCAGGTGAATGTAACGGCGAGGAGGATTTGGGCGATAAAAGGTGAGGAGAAAGAAGCATCCAAGGAGTTAATGGAGATACTCAAGACGCTTGAAACCGAGCTTGGAGACAAACATTACTTTGGAGGCGAGACGTTCGGGTATGTGGATATAGCCACTACAAGAAAACTAAGCCATTACTAGGAAAATTTACTAGGAAAACATTTCCTCGTAAAAATACTACTAGTTTACTTCGACTTTACGAGGAAACATCTTTTCCTCGTAAGGTTCTCGTAAACTTACGAGAAAAGCGTTTCCTCGTAAAGTGGAAGTAAATTTACGAGGCTCTTACGAGGAAAATAATATTTTCCTCG